TGGGGCACCAGCTTTCTGGGCATTCTATTTATTTCTGGAAAGAAAGTTCCAGAAGGTAAGTACTGGGAAACTCTTGGTCTATATGGGAGTTACCTGGCAGTGTTTTTGGTTTTGCCTCTTTAACATTTAACTTCTGCATGGAACTGTTACAAGAGATCATGCCCAGTCACTGAGTTAGTGGTATCGTCCATATATAGGTGATATCCAAGAAGCAATAATTATACATCAGTTGCTAGCTCACAGGTCTGAAATATGTTTCTGTAGACTGTTAATTTAGTTCTGTTTCATGACATTCCATAAATAAGTGAAGACAATTTTGGCAGATTGCTTTTACTGACAGATGTTTTTCTTGCTTCTCTGCAGCTTTTGATTGTTTAGTTAGATATTTTATATTGATTTTCCCCTGTTTTAACAGTGATTTTAATTGCCATTTGATGGTTTGTGTACCCTTCTATGGGAGGATCAACTGAAAAGTAGTAAAAAATGTTGTTAAACTCTGCTTACATTGGCTCTTTCTGCTTGGCTCTGAAAACATCCTACAAAGATTTGTTTGTAGATGGATTTTTTAAACCTATCAAGACAGTGCAGGGTGGGGGGACAAATATCTCTCCCTTATATATAATTCAGTAAGATGCAAACTGACGCAGAGGACAGAAAATGCGCACCCACAGTGTTTGGCCGGCTGCGCTGTCCCTCAAAGGCTTACCCAGGTTCCATTGGCCATGTCCTCTGAGTCCCGCTTCTGACACAGCTTCACGCAGCGGGGCGCAATGAGGAAAAGCGCCAGCGGGGACGGACGAGGGCCGGGAGCCGACTTTCCGACTGGGTGAGACAGAGGTCGCCGCCCTGGCCGAGGCGCGGGTCGCCTAGCTGCCAGGCCAGAAGAGCAGGGAGGGGGAGAAGGCGAGGGGGCGCGCTCCTGCTTCAGCTCCTGTGTCCCGTGTCCAGCCGGGACTATGCCCGATTGCCGGGAGAACGGACGGTCCAGGGCCCCTCCCAACACGACCCCACCCGACCCAACAGCGAGCCTTACCCCGAGGGAGGACCGCAGACAGGCGGGGGCAGGGAAGAGCCCCGCAGGTCCGGCGAGCGCGGCAAAGCGACAGAGGAGCCGAGGGGAAGAAGAGGATCGGGAGACGATGAGGCCCAAGTGTCAGGAGAAGCCACGGCCAGCAAGGACCGGCCAGTGGACGGAGACCGCCCTCACGACGTCGACCAGCTGACCGGAGTGATGGCAAGGCCAGAGGTGGAGAGACGGCCAGGAGAGGGAGTGGCCACGTCCTTCCCTTTACAGGGAGCCGGGGCCAGGCAGGAGGCATGGCAGGGAACCGCGGGGGTAATGACAGGAGGAGAGGAAGGTTCTCAAACCCACCCACTTCCCTTCTCCCCCCCTTCTCTCTCTCTCTCTCTCTCTCCACAACCCGTCCGCTTCGCCAACCCACCCGTCCCGCTGGACACACGGCCGCAGCTTTCTCCCTCCCCCCTTCCTTCCTTCACCCACCCACTCACCCACCCACCCTACCTCTCTAGGCGGCCCGTTGTATTGCTCCTCAACGGGCTTTGCTCCCTAGTTGTAGCATACGTGGAAACATTTCTTTTATGAATCAATGTGATCACTAGATGGCTCTGTAGCACTGTTATGAGTGTAAAAGGCCTTGGTTCTTGTTGGCAAAGTTAGGTCATTGGGAAGCAAAGAGAAAGCTCACAGTGAACTATCAAAATGGTAACAGTCAAGGCCTGGGATGTGGGCATCTCCTCAGAGAAGGATTCCCCTATGAGAGCCAGTGTGGTGTAGTGGTTAAGAGCAGTAGACTCTAATCTGGAGAACGGGGTTTGATTCCCCCCTCTTTCACATGAAGCCAGATTTGGTTTCCCAGTTCTCCACATGAAGCCAGCTGGGTGACCTTGAGCCAGTCACAGCTCTCCCAGAACTCTCTCCACCCCACCTGCCTCACAAGGTGCCAGTTGTGGGGAGAGGAAGGGAAGGAGCTTGTAAACTGCTTTGAGACTACTTTGGGTAGAGGAAAGTGGGGTATGAAAACAGCTCTTCGTCTTCTTCTATGGTTTCTGCCACACCTGTGGCTCCTCAAGAGGGAGACCCTTTGTCTTCCATACAACTGCAGGCTTCAGCTAAGGATCTGATGGGGTAAAGAATCAGGGAAACCTCCCATTACACCCCCAAGAGTGAAACTGGGCGCAAGTGGAATCTTCGAGCAAGCAGAGGAGTACACACTTGGTTGCTAAGGGGAACCCACAAGCTAGTCGTATTCACAAGGATAGCACTGCACTCATCATCGCAGGAAAAGATGGTGACATCAGTTTCATAGAAAGACTCTACAGTTGGGGGTCTGACCTCAATTGGATCAACACACCTTAAAGCCAACTCACGGACAGCTTGGACTCGGAAAGGGTTCTAGCTGTGCAGGACTGCGGCTGCTTCCTTGCCTGTCTCGCTTGGTCCTGATCCTTGTGGACAGCACTGGCTCTGCTTCTTGGATGTTTGCTTTTCACCCTTGGGACCCTCTAGTCAGTGCAACCATGACAGTCAAGCTACAAACAGGACAGCAAAAGCCAAAGAAGAGGAGAGTCAGCTCACTCTTTATCTCAGTAGCTTAGTGTGACGCCCCCCTTATTGGGGAGGACTAGTTTCACTTTAAAAGTTCTTTTTATTTTGTTTTACTGGGTAGATTAGGCTGCCACCAGGAAATTTTAAGGATTTCCAAACCTTTATGCTCTTACTAGTTTGGTAGACTGAGTTCAAGGCTTACGAGGAAGTATGTGGTCCTGAGGAAGTATTTCATTCAGAACTTGTATAAACTTGGATAAAAGAAGATTTATTGAAATAAATACTAAATAAGAGGGTGGTACAATGTAACTAGTAATGTGTAAATGATGAACAACTGCTCTGGTATCACACACAATCTCCTCCCTCACTGACAGGGATCTTTTCATGTAACTTTGTAACACTTGTTTATCTCAATGCCATATAAGTTCACTGTTTCACTCCAGTCTGTTATGACCCACAAACTTTAATATAACTTTCTTCACTTAAACTTTACTGTACTTTTCCCTAGACACTCAGCTTTCAGATCTCTTTTCCTTTATCCCTGAACAACCTCAGTTGTCAGCTTATAACTGCTTCAACACAGAACTGTCTGAACATATCAACTGTAAACTTGTAACTGAAACTCCTGACTGACACACATACTCATCCATTCAGATTCAATTCCAAAACCCCTCCCCCTCTCTGTCAACCACCAATCATACCACACTTGCATCTCTCAACCACTCTAGTCTACTTACCACAGCCATGCAACCAAACTTTTAAAGAGACACACACAAAAAAAAACAAGAAATCGTTACACTTAGAGACAGAAGGGAGCGGTGGCGCAGGCAATATAACGCCTGCTGTTAACATCTGTGGCGAACAGCCAGTATGGCTGTTCAATCCCCCACCGCGGCCGGGTTGAGCCCCCGGCCCCCATCCCAGCTCCCGCCAACCCAGCGGCTCTAATTAATAACAAGAGGAATGGGTACCTGCCCTAGGTGGCAGGGGGCACCCTCCTACTGGCCTTGTGCAGGTAAGGCGATCGGCAACACCAGATAGAGGCGGAGTCAGAGGCGGAGACGGAGTCGGAGCGACGCAAGGGCGCGGGACGCAGCACGGCAGGAGCTGTTTGGACGTGAGCCGAAGCTGCGCCCGAGGAAAGACGCGCAGCTCCGAAGAAGAAAGACTGACAGCCTGCTCGAGTCTAGCCGATGGTTGGCCGGGCCGCCAGAAACAACATCAGAAAAAAGCCGTCTAAAGCAACAATAACGAACAAAGCTGCCGAACAAAGTAAGACTGCCGTATAAATGGGTGCTGTTAGGTTGTCCTCCCCTCACTACATTGTGGCCCTAGATAGGTTATCAGCTACCATGGTGTAGCACCCTGTAAACCGCTCTGAGACCCATTAGGGGTTACGAGCGGTATATAAATCACATGTAAAAAAAAAAGTGGTGCCAGTTTCAAGGAAAGGTTTAGAGTGGGGAAATGGTAGAGGAAAGGAGGTTTAACCCTCCCTCCCTCTGCAGAGGACTCCCACCGGATCTGATCTGAAAACACAAACACAGTTGCAGATGCTTTTAATATCAAAGACAAATCTCCCACCTCTTCTCTAATAGCACTCTACGATTTTGGGAAAAAAATGATAATAGCAGATCTGATGTCACTTTGGGATCTATGTTTAGGCTCAGTTCTTACAAGAATTACGTGAGGTAGTCTATTCATGTCTTGGCTATACCACTTCTGACTGAAGGTGCAGTGAGGGCTTACGTGTTAGTTTAAAAAAAAAAGATGCCTTCACTTTAAAACCTAGCATATTAAGGAGCAGGCTAGGCTAAAACCTTTACCTTGACAGGCTAGTTATTGATGTGCAGGGATTTTTCTTTTTTTAGTACCATCAAACAAGGCCTTGTAGCCTTAAGTGCTACAGCCAAGATGCTAATTTACCACCTCACTGGCAGGTTGCTGGAGCAAGGCCTAAGCTCATAGCCAGAACGACCCACTTGAAGTGTCGTCATCTCAGAAACTCAGCTTCACCACCTAGTGCACGGCCTCTGCTGCCCACTCTATTCCCTCTGCCCAACTCCAAATGCCAGATACAGTTATCAGCTGTCCGTCACACTGCAATATCCTTTGCTAGGAAACTGGATCTGCCTGGTTTTCCTCCTTGACCCTCAGCTGTTCCAAGCACTCAAGCGACTGTCTCCACCCACGGGAAGGAGCTAGATTTCAGTCCATGCTAGGCACTCATCCCTAGAAGCTTCCCTAAGACCTGGGGGGAAGGCTGTTTCAAGGAACAGCAGCTGAGACCAAGACAGGTGAGTGGCATCACTGGTGTGGGGGAGGACTCCTTCCCATACCCTCCGCCCCCAGAGACAAAAATGTGGACAGCATCCTAGCCTTCCCAGAATTATAGCGCATTATGGAGCTATATATAGGAAGGGCTGGGGCAGGCCCAATGGTCATTCACTTGGCTGCTGTGCCTGCCCCGGGATGGTCGACATCTCCTTGGCCTCTCTGATCTCTAGCTGTTCCTTCTCTGGTTGCTGGTGCCTCTACTGGAGTCCCACTTTCACCAGCTCTAGTAAGAGAATTTTTAAATTGTCTTGTTTCCTCTCTCTCTCTTTTGTTCTCCTATGTTTTCTGCTTCTATGTTCACACTTAATGCCTTTAACTACAGTCCAAATACTTTCCAAAATGATTGTAAGGCCAGCCTTACATGGGGATGGGGAGTCTGATGCAGTCTTGAAATGCATGGAGGGACCTCAGTCTTGGAGAGAAAGGCCAATATCAAAAATGTTCCACAGACTGGTGAGGCAAAGACTTCTCCTGGGAACAGGCTACTGGATCACATTTTATTACCAGCAAAGATTCATAAGAGAACTTTGCCCAGTTCTCTGTATTGCTCCTGTGTCTGTGTTGTAAGTCTAAAAGCAATGCAATCTGTAAGCCAAAGAGTTCGTCCAACAGAAGAAAAAGGCACAGATTGTCAGGTTTAGGGACCCTTGGTCTGATCCTGCAGAGCAATTTCTTATCTTCTTAATAGAAACCAGGCAAGTTTTCTGTAGCTTAAGGTAATACAGCTTTCTCAATATTTTGGCCTCAGCTTACAGACATACAAACATAAATTATGTTAATTTAAACTCAAAACCATACATTATACTGAACTTGCTTAAATTTACTTTTTAATACTTAATATCCATTTAGAGCTCAGCTGGAGAGGGTTAAAGGTGGGAGAGATGGAGGGGGTGCAGCCACTATAAAAGCTTTAAGTTTCAAAGTGTTCATCTTTGGCATAAAAATAGAATTCAATATCTTCCACTTATTATTGCTTTGTGTAAAAAATAACCTCTACTGTTAGTACGCCATCTGAATCCTGCAATGATTACCATCAAAGAGTACCATCACTAGCACTTTAACTGTTAATTGTTGGACTGTTTTTAATGCTTAATGTTGTTGTTGTAAGTTGTTTAAATTTTGTACATGGTTTTTATGGTACAGGATACCAATTACTGTAAGCCGCCCTGAGCCTGCTTGCGGGGGGGGCGGGGTATAAATCAAAATAATAAATAAATAAATAAATAAATAAATAATATGATTATCTCAGTGGCGCTGATCCACTCAATTTGATCAAACATCAATGGAGTAGAAACTGCTTGTCTTGCAACGTGAAAGTATCTTATCTTGCCTTGCAATACATTACAGTCCCAAAGGCTCAGGAGCACAGCAAGCAACCCAGAGAATCCCCACCCATCAAATGTTATGGAGAATGATCTGCAGATCAAAGGCTAAAGTTTTCAGAGAAACCTGAGCTCAGACATCTCTCTTTCTTGAAATTAACCCAATTGTATAAGGCTATTGTAGCAGACAACATCGACTAGAGCAGAATAAGGTAAAAAGAGGTCTGTGTACTGATATGCAGGTGCATACATTCGTGCTTTACGCACAGAGAGAAAGAACAGGGAAGAGCAGGCAGGCACAGCTCTCCCGGCTGCAGAACTGAGCTCCAGTTACCATGTTTGTGCTATTTATAGGGCATTTGTCACCTTGACCAGCAAAAGGCCTGGCAGCTGTTTTGCGGGGTTAACATTCCTCTTCTGCTCTCAATAGGTCAGGCTGAGTCTGTCTTGAGTGCCAGAGACACAGCATACACGAGGCAGGAAGAGAGGAAAGAAAGCAATCCACATCCCCAAAATCCAGAGGGTGGGCTGGGGAGGTCAGAGTGAATAGGATCCAGAGGGTCTTCTCCTATAGGAGGCACAAGGACCTTCTGGACTCCTACAGGTATAACAGTCCGAAGGCAGACCCCTCTACAATGCAAAGTGAAGCATTCCATCTCAGGCTATGGAACTTGGATTTCCATTAAAGGCTGGCTTACTGGGAAGATTTGACCTCAGAGACAGATTTGACCCATGGAGCACAAGTGGAGTGGGAGGGAACAGATTTGACCCATGGAGCACAACTTTTTGTGGAAGCTCCATTGAAATGAACAGGAGGTGTGAACAAGCACAGCAGTTCATTCCCAGAAGGTTTGTGCAAGAGGTCTTACTGATAGATTGGGGCCCTTCCAGATGTTGGTCTTTGGAAGGGTATTTATAGCATTTGGTTTTTCTGTCTTAGGTGCCACAGGATGCTGGATTGGGCCTGCGCTAGGCAACTGCAAAGGAAGGGCATAGAAAGGTCTGTGACCTGAATTTGAACCAGGGCTCCCCGTTTCCTTTTCACCAAAGTCTGTGCCTGTGCAAAGGCCATTAGCCACAAGGTATAGATAGGGACTCTTGGTCGGGGGCAAGTGATGCTCTGTATTCTTGGTGCTTGAAGGGGGGGACAACAGTTGGAGGGCTTCTAGTGTACTGACCCCACTGCTGGACCTCCTGATGACACCTGATATTTTTGGCCACTGTGTGACAGAATGTTGGACTGGATGGGTCATTGGCCTGATCCAACATTGGCTACTCTTATGTTCTCTCATGCCTACTGAGTTTTGTATGGGTGCAAAGATGTTCAAATTGAGCAACAGCCTCACTTTTTTCCCTTTGGGAGAGGAACCCCCAAAGCGTACAATTATGGGACATTTCTCACCTGTGAGAGTGACTGTTCCAGTCCAGAGAGCAAGGTGGCACCAGTCAACTGGTGTCTACACATGGCAGAGAAGATGGATTGACGGGTCCAAACACAGTTCCTCCTCTCTTGTCCTCAGGTTCCTCTGACTTCAGCCAACATGTCGAGCTCCCAGCAGCATCTCATTCAAGGCATGCACCAGGACCTCAGCTGCCCCATCTGCCTCAAGCTGTTCCAGTCTCCCGTGACAACAGAATGTGGGCACACTTTCTGTCAGGAGTGTCTGTCTCGGGTGCCCAAGGATGAAGATGGCAAGGCCACCTCCTGCCCCACCTGCCAGGCTCTTGCCAAGGTGGAGCAGCTGCACATCAACCAGCAGATGGAACACCTGGTGGAATGCTTCCGGCAGGTCCCCCGTGACCACTGTGAAGAGCACCTGGACCCGCTGAGTGTCTACTGCGAGCAGGACCGGCAGGTCATCTGTGGAGTGTGCGCTTCTCTGGGCAAACACAAGGGTCACAACATCATCACCGCTGCTGAGGCCCACCAAAGGATGAAAGTAGGTATCAGGAGGAGAAGGAGCCCTTCTAAATAACCCGGCTTCAGGCCTCCCCGGTCCAGGTCTCCTATCGACTCCCACTTCTTACTGCCCCCACTTTGGGCAAATTTTAGTTTTGTGTCCCAAGCCTACCTTGACTCCCCAGGATCAGGGTAGGTTAGAAATCCAGGTTTTTTTGTGGATTTTTTGTTGTTGTTGTTTTGCTGTCAAGTCATAGCTATAGGGTTTTCAAGGCAAGAGACATTCAGCAGTGGTTTGCCACTGCCTGCCTCTGTGTCACAGCCAGGAGGACTTCCTTGGTGGTCTCCCATCCAAATACTAGCCAGGGCTGACCCTGCTTAGCTTCTAAAATCAGACTAGATCAGGCTGGCCCGGGTGATCCATGTCAGGGCGCACACACAAATCCAGCTATACAGAAGTTTAAAATGACAGCAGTAGTTGCAGTTCCAACTCTCCTATTTGTCCTGAATTTGACGTACAACCCCCCCATCTCTTGGTATCGTTTTAGAGGCAACTTCCCCAGCAGCAAGTCCAGCTGCAGGAGGCCCAAGTGCGGAAGGAGAAGACCATTGCCCTGCTGATTTGCTGAACCGGCAAATAGCAGAAGTGGAGGCAAGTTGTTCACGCAGGAGGATCCAGAAGGCAGAGCGATACTACAGACTTATGGAACCTTTCTATCAACAGGGCTGCCAGCTGTGGACTGGGAAATTCCTGGAGACTTGGGGGCACAGCCTGGGGAGGGCGGAGTTTGGGGAGGAGAGGGAGTTCAGGAGGGATGTGATGCCATAGAGTCTGCCCTCCAAAGCTGCCACTTTATCCGGGGGAAGTCATCTCTGTAGTCTGGAGACCCATTGTAATTCCAAGAGATCTCCAGGCCCCATCTGGAGGTTGGCAACCATACTTATCTATCACAGTGGATGATGATTATAGTGAATGACTTAGATTTTTCAATAACTGCTAGATGACTAAGGACCAGTGTTGAGTGAAACAGATACGCAACAAAAATGATAATGGAGAAAGTCTCTGGATTTATAAGCCATTAATTACACGGTTGTATCCTGAAACTCTTAGGAACAGAACAAACTTCTGTTCCTTGAAGTTGATGCAGTTCCTATAGACAAGGTAACAGGGGTCTGAGGCACTGTAATCCCAGATGAAGCTCTTGGTAGGAAAGTCCTCAGTCTTATAAAGTTGCTGTAGTCCATGCTGTTGTCCCAGGGAGGGAAAGCAACCGTGTTATGGAAGATGTCAATAATATGCCAAGGAAAAGCTTTTCTCGTTCCCTTTTCTCTTAGGTTGAGAGGGAGCTAGCTGTCTTCCAACTGATTTCTTCCTCAGGCATCTCTCTTAACTGTCCGTTTTTTCCCAACTGCCATTCTTTGAACATTCCAAGCTCGTAGCCCCTCCTATTCTTTTACTTATGGCTTCCCCCAAAGGATCTTGGGAATTATAGTCTGGGGAGAGCGCTGAGAATTCTGTCAGACAGCTCTAGTAACGCCTCAAACAATTACAGTTCCCAGGATTCCTTGGGAAGAGGGGACAACTATGAAACAAGTTTAAGTCTGTAATGCAGATTTGCCCAATAAGGGGAACTGTTAGAACGGCTAGCCATTGATGAAAGCCTGTGGATATCTCCTGTGGCAAACAAGAAAATTTGCAAACAAACACATATTCATTTTTAAAAGAGTCCAAATGTTTTGAGCTCTCTCCTTCAATGGCTACCCTGAACATTCCAGCACTTCCATTTGTATGTGTGTAGGAGAAAGACTCTAGCAAGTACTTCAAGTTCAAGGGGCTGATGAAAAAATCCCCATAAAGCTGAGAGTACTAAGATTTATTTGGTGTAGTTTGGTGTAGTGGTTAAGTACACAGACTATAATCTGGGAGAACCGGGTTTGATTCCCCACTCCTCCACTTGCAGCTGCTGAATGACCTTGGGCAAGACATAGTTCTGTCAGAGCTGTCCTTGAAAGAGCAATTCTTGAGAGAGCTCTCTCAGCCCCACCTACCTCACAGGGTGACTCTTATGGGGAGGCGGAGGGAAAGGAGTTTGAAAGCCTCTCTGAGACTCTGAGTGAAGGGCAGGGTATAAATCCAATCCTCCTTCTATTTTATTTATTTACTTCATTTATATCCTGCCTTTCTCTACATGGGGACTCAAAGTAACTTACTTCATTCTCCTCTCCTTCATTGTATCCTCACAACAACCATGTGAGGTAGGTTATGCTGACAGCATGTGACTGGTCCAAGAAGGTCACCCAGCTACCAGACTTCCATGGCAGAGTGGAGATTCAAACCTGGGTCTCTCAGATCTTAGTCTGACACCCTAACCAATATCCCACAGACTGGCTCTTAACCAGAACCAGAATAAAGTTATTTTGGGGGAAGTTAGTAAGCTATTTTGTGGGAAGAAAATGGCGGAAATAGAGAAGCAGGAAGCCAGGAAGGGACTCCAGGAGCCACCTTTCTCTCTCTCTCTCTCTTCCCAGGATACCGTGTCTCGTTTCAAACGGCAGGTGTCGGAACAGCTGGGGGTGATGCGTTCCTTCTTGGGAACCCTAGAGGCCTCTCTGGGCCAGGAGGCTGAGCGAGTGCAGGACCAGGCCACAAAAGCCCTGCAAAACGAGCGCAAGACCATGCATCACTACCTGGACCAGCTCAAGCAGATGGAGACCGTGTTGGGAGAAGTGCAAGAGGAGACACAGACTGAGTTTCTGAGGGTGAGGCTCTCCCTTCTTTGCAGTCCTTTCCAGTCTTCATCCACGGTCTAAGCCAGGGGTGGCCAAACTTTCTTAACATAAACCACGCAGAATAAACGTCAGATGTTTGAGAGCCACAAGACATGAACAAATATAACCCACACATTTTTATAGAAAAACATGCAAATTTGCTTTTGATTAACATTAAATGAGACAGCCAAAAATAAAAACAAAAGGGTTAAAAAACAGCTATTGATAATGGTATTTAACTTTATATGGGGAGGGAGGGAAGAAAGGGAGAGATGGAAAGAAAGCAACTTTAACTTTAAATGCATCTTTCAAGACCCCCCGCGCCCGCCCCCCCGCCAGCTGGCTTGGCTTGAAGAAGGGATTTAAAGAGACAAATGCCTTCTCCAAGCAGGCTTGTAAGACAGAAACTCCGTCAAGGATTCCCACAGTTCTCCCTAGGGTTACAATGGGAAACATAGGGTTTTATACCCCCTATGACACTTAGAAATAAATCACAATTATTGGTTCCATCAAACTTTGTCACATATTCGTCACACCATTCTGATTGGGAATCCAACCTGGGGGGTTGGATTTTCCCAGGCAAAAATATACCTTCTTCAGTTGAACAATAGGCTTTCTTCTTCCTAGGCTGTGAAATTCTAAAAAGTATCTAATTGTAACACATATCAGTATATCATGCAGTGTTCTTCAGCTAACTCAAGCAAACTGACATCAGGGGCATGCGCAATTACAACTGGCAAGAACAAGCAAAGTCACTGCAGTAAGATTGTCTGTCAGCATTTAGCATTTTACCCACAGTGCATTTAAGCAATGAACCAGAGTGAATATCTGAATATATGTTCATGATTGATTTCAGTTACTGTGATTAGAATCATCAAAGGCACTTAGCATATGCACCATGGAAGTGTTAAGAGCACCTGCTAAGTTAAACTAACTTAGTCAGCGGCAGAGTGCAAAGGGTTTCATAAGCGATGTGTACAACAGGCTGGTGGGGGTGGGTCTTTAAGAATGCATTTAAAGTTGCTTTCTTTCTCTGGTCACCCCCCCATCTCTAGCCTACAGGGAGGGGAACACTGGCTGGGGACGGGAAGATTGATCGGGGAGGCACGCCTCCCTTTTGCTTCCCCAGCCACCCTGCCAGGAGCCACACAATATGTGTGAAAGAGCCACATGCGGCTCCCGAGCCACAGTTTGGCCATCCCTGAGAGTCTAAGCAGAACCAAACTGGAAACAGTGCTATTAAGTGCCCCTTGCAACACAACGGGGCATTTGTCTTTTGTTGCAAGAGAACCCCAGTGGTGACTCAGAAGCACACTGACAACTGCTTTGTATATAGTATCCCAGACCCTTTTCACGACGGCTCAAGCCTAATAGAATACCCAGCATGGCATTTACGCAACTGGCCTTTCCCGGCCATGTTGATTTTCATTGGGTTGGTTTTAGGACAACACCGGCATCTGGTCCTTTGTAATGATAGAGTGGCCGTGTTAGTCTCTTGCGGCAAAATCAAACAGGAGTGCAGCGGTTACCTTAAATGCTAACAGAAGTTATTCTAGCATAAGATTTCTTCATGAGCCAAAGCGCACTTCATCTCAAGCAAGATGTGCAGCAGATGTTTCTAAGGTCTGCAATCCATCCCAGTTTTGTATCATTTAGAAGTTAGAGGAACTAAGTCCTACTCTTTCAGTGCAGGCCTTACAGGAAATTTGAACAGCAAACACTGCCGCTTTCTACTTGTCACTCCCCACACTACATCTGGAGTCCCCATCTATCCTTCTAGCCAGAGTCACATTCAGAGCATGAAGCTTGCGGTGCCAGGGGAAGAAAGCACAATGGATTTAGAGGCTGAAGATTCATACAGTTCTGAAAAACATGCTCCTGTGATATTGCCCCCAGTCCTGGCACCCTCAAAAGTTTTTATTCCTTGCTTTTCTCCACAATGAGGACTCAAAACAGCTTACATTTTTACCGTCTCCTCTTTTTTATCCTCACTATCACCACTCTGTCAGGTAGGTTAGGTTATGAGAGTGCGACTGGCACCCAGTAATATTCCTTGGCAGATTGGGAATTTGAACCTGCGTCTCTCAGATCCTAATATAGCACTCTAACCAAGCTGTCAGTTGATAATCTCACCTCCCATATATGAACCCTCCTGATAATCTCATCTCTGGTTTTTGCTAATTTAATGAATCTCAGAGAAGCACCTGCTGTGAACTGTCTACCTCTTTTTATTCTTCTCACTGACCTCTTTCTTTCTTCTCATCCTCCACAGAAATACTGCCTGGTGGCCAGCAGGTGAGCGACTGTCTTTTTATACCACCAAGCCCAGCATTGTTTTTTGCCCTCCACATCTAACACCCACCTTGCTTTTGATACCTTAATCAGAGCGGTATATAAATTGAATGTATAAATAAATAAATGAATGCTGCAATAACTTCACTATGCGCACATACATTTGTGCACCCCTCCCTGCACCCTTAATTTCTACATCATTTCTAAGAACTGAGAAAAATGCCCTCCGCAAGACACGGAAAGTGATTTCGTTCAGATAGGACAGTGAAAAAGGGGGGAAATATTTAATGTTATTTTTCTATTTACAAATTAATGAGGATAGTAAGTTCAGATGTTTTAAAATAATTTGATAGAGTTGAGCAGTTACGTTTAATCTAGGTGGGATTATGGAAACTGATTCTGGTGAATTGCGCATCATATCTTGGCGATGCCTTCCTCTTCCACCCTCAAAAATCATTTCTTGGAATGAAACCCTGAATGGAAAGAAGAGCGCATCCTAGGTTCATGTGAGGTTCATGCTAATATGGTTTGCATGTGGTATATAAGAATAAGAGCAGGGGAAAGATTTTCCAGTTTTGATGCCTTTCCTCATTAGTTCTCCTTTCAGTTCACTGTGTACACTGTGTGAAAACACAGATCTACTTTTTTTTTACACATAATTTTGTTTTAGCCCCAGAGATATGCTGATTCTATAATATCTACAAATGCACAGAACTCTTTTTAAAGTCAAACTGCTGTAGAGATTTGGATGTGTGTGTGTGTGGTCCCTCCCCTTAATCCTACGTTTATGGGATCAGGGATGTACACAGCCACAAACAGACATATTCTCTCTCTCCCCCCCCTTCATACACACACACACACAGACAGAGTGTTTGCTGTCTCAAAACTTCAGTCCCACAACCTAGTGCCAAGGACTGTGCAATAGTACTGAGTGTGCCTCTGCATTTACTACTACCAAATAGTGAATGACAGAATATGAAATTTAACAGAAGATGATTTAATAAGAAGAGCCCTGCTGGATCAGACTAATCGTTCATCTAGTCCAGCATCCTGTCTCACACAGTGGCCAACAACAGAGCATAGAGCCCAAGGCCTTCCCTGGTGTTGCCTCCCAGCACTGGTATTCCTGTGAACATGGACCTCTCCTCCATAAATCTGTCTAATCCCCTTACACCTTCCATTCTGGAAGACTTCCAAGCTTGAAGCATACATTTTAAAAACAGAAATGAAAATGGTTATCAGAAGAAAGGGCCACAGCAGCTTCCTTGGAGTTTGGTTCCGTGGGTCCTCCTGCTCAGTTCCACTCTATGATGTCCATCTTCTTTTCCTTGGTACAGGTTGCAGAAGATCCTTGGAGAACCCCCACCCATCGCCCGCATGGACATCCAGCTCCCCATCATTTCAGACGAGTTCAAGTTCCAGGTGTGGAGGAAGATGTTCCGTGCACTGATGCCAGGTAGAGATCTCAGTAGGAAGGTTCTATATACAAAAAGAGAGGGGCTGCAACATTTACTTGATGTTGGTTAAAAAAGCTGGGAGCCCACAAGGAACGGCAAAGGTGGAGACATAAACAACTGGGAAACTCCCCACCCCCAAGCATCTATTTTTCATTTACAAGATAATATTTTTCTTGCATACTTGGGGAATCCCCTGAATATGCAGAAACCCTAGACTTGTCTGCCAATGGGCTTAGTTCTCTACCATGTGGTAGCATGCAGCCTTCAGTTCAGAGGAGATAATGAATGGATTCAAGATCTTTTAATCAATTACAAGGGTTGGCAGAATTTTTAAAATTAAGTTATTTTAAATGCAAGCACTCACAAAAAAGAAAATCTTCTGAGATGTTGTCCGCCGGGACACATGTGGACTCTACTTCAAAATGGAAAATGTGCCACTTTATTTGGAATGATAATTTATTAACATGCAAATATATGCATATTTCATTGACTAATTAATCAGTTAAGATGTTTATGATAAATGATTAGGGAGTCTGTAATCAGGGACGGCCCTAAAAATCAACATTTCATATTCAGGGAAACCACATTCTGTACTGGCAAAAACTGAATTCTGTAGAACATGTCAGGTGTGGCAATACAGTACATCTTGCATGTACTTGATTGTTTTGCACAACGATTTGCTTCTCTTGCTCAAGAGAAGGGCAGGGGACAGTGTGGCGAACTGCAGCCTTGCCCCTGGAGCACAGGAGATTTTATTTATTTAATACCATGCTTTTCTCTCGATCGGTAGTCAAAGCAGCTTACAACACCATTCTCCCGTTCGTCATTTTATTCTCACAGCAGCAACAGTGTGAGGTAGGTGAGGACGACAGAGATACACTGGCCCAAGGTCATGCGACAAGCTTTCATAACAGGGTAGGGTTGAACCTGGTTCCCGAGATCCTAGTCTGACATTCTAACCACTATGTACCACTGGTTCTATTTCCCCCCCTCATTCTAATCAGTTTTCACTGGTTATTGTTCATACAGCTTTGAATCTGTCTTGGCAGCCCGGAAGGCTAAAAACATGCTTTGCAGCATCCCCAAAATTGATTAAGTTCTCCATGCATCCCCAGAAGGCAATGTTTGGCGGTTTCACTATGCAGTGAAGTCATCACATTAACACTGGGCACATGGCACTGAATCAGTCCCTACTCATGATCCAAAAGAGCAATGGGGGCATTTCCCATTATGAGTCGTTCCATGATGCTTTTCCATATAAATGACAATTGTCCTGAAGCGCCACAGCTGAGCACCAGTTTTTCAACTCAAACAGCATGTCAAAAGTTGCATTTTGCAACAATGAAAAATGCCTTCAAAAATACCATGGAACTACATGCTAATATGAAGTTCCGGTCCCCATTAAAACATGGTGTCGGCGGAATCCTTGCTTTATTTAAAGAAAGAGTCAGTGCCTCATAGTCTCGCTTAACACTTTTATCTCTTTTCCTTCCTCTCCTCCCCAGCCTTGGAGAACCTGACCTTTGACCCAGACACTGCTCAACAAAACCTGGTGGTGTCAGAGGACGGCAAGCGGGTGGAGTGTTCCGAGCACAAACAAGCCGTGAGCACGGATGACCCACAGCGCTTTGATAAGTCCAACTGTCTGGTCTCGCGCCAGAGCTTCTCGCAGGGGGAACATTACTGGGAGGTGATCGTGGATGATAAGCCACGCTGGTCTCTGGGTGTCATCTCGGCTGAGGCCGGGCGCAAGGGCCGCCTGCATGCCACCCCATCCAATGGCTTCTGGCTGATGGGGTGTAAGGAAGGCAAGAGCTACGAGGCCCATGTGGAACACAAGGAGCCACGGCCACTGAAGCTGGAGAGGAAGCCCAGCCGCATCGGCATCTACCTCAGCTTTGAAGATGGCCTCCTCGCCTTCTATGATGCCAGCGATGAAGACAACCTGGTGCAGATCTTTGCCTTCCATGAGCGCTTCACAGGCACTGTCTACCCCTTCTTCGATGTCTGCTGGCATGATAAAGGCAAAAACAGCCAACCACTGATCATCTATACTCCAGAGTCGGGAGCGCAGTAACTAGCTGGTGACTGTGGAAGAAATGCTCTGAACTTCACTCAGTCATTATTTACAATATAGACACACCCAGGCCACGACTCCAGCCACAACTCAGCGACAACTCCAGTTGTAAAGCTCAGAGGTATCCAGAGAAGTCCACACCAGGACAACCCACAACCCCAGCAATGGTTGACATTTTAACTCTTCTCTGTGTTCTACAAGCTGTCCCAATCATGCCCGCGTACATGGACAGAAAAGTCACTGTCCCCAATAGAAATATATAATCTTGCATGGAGTTGGGCATCTTGATCATCTCAGCTTTCGCTGATTTAAAAATACAACTTCCCAGCCCTTGTAGTTTGCAAAAGAGTTTGGAAATATGTGGGCAGGGTCTGCAGACTCCAAAACAAGAAAGAACTTGGAGCATATTTCCAAACAGGTATGGGGCAGCCCTCTGTGCCTTGACTGCTACCACTCACCTCTCCCACAATCCTAGTCATTTGAAATCTCCATTTCCATCTCTTCTCCCTTATTCCATCCTCTTCACCATCTCACTTCTTTGTAAGCGCAAACACACAATAGATTATGTGAAATAAACGATAAAACATTACAAAATAAGCACGCTGGTGCCAAACTATCTCATGCACGTTATTTTTCTCTGAGCACAGAATTTCACTTTGCTCCACATCCATTTTGGAGCACACAAAGCACTGATTGAAGAACAACATCTCTTTGCCCACAGTCATGGGGGAAGCACAGAGGATGGGCCATGGATCAGTGGTAGAGCACCCACTTGGCATGCCGAAGGTCCCAGGCAACAATAGACAGCAATCCACATTTATGCCCATTTCATTACAGGCTCAGCATAAATGTGTATTGTTATTATATTGTTACCTTCATAGAAACAGGTTCGGAAACACTATTGTTGGTCTCTAAGGTGCTAGTGGACTCAAATCTAGCTTTTCTACTGCAGACCAGCACGGCCACTCTCCTGAAACTGAGGTAGAGAAAAACCAGCTGAAAACTTATCATGTACACCGATGGGCTACATAGATCTCCCCAATGGAGTAAATAGCACCCCCTTGGGGCCGTTTCATGTTCAGGAAAGCAGCACATCCTGATGGGCAAATCACTCAAAATCCCACTGCAACCCCTCAGCACTAGAATAAAGCCTGACTATTCCATTTACAATGTTCAATCAGTGTCAGTGTGCTGTTGTTGTCACTGTAAATAATTTTTGTTAGCTGCTTTGAGAAGGCATTTGGTCACGAAAACAAATTCTCAAAGCAAAGAAAGAAATTATTTCTCGTTGTGAACGTGCCATATTGTTAGCATATCCTGTATGCAGCTATATTGATGTCAAATCATCCGCAGCTAGGCTTACCAAGTCCCCCCGGGGGGCGGGGAGACCCCCGCCCCAGAGGCCTGTTCCCCGCCGCCGCTGGATCGGGCCCCGGGGGGAACTCCACCCCGACGTGCATGTCACCAGGAAGTGACGTGACTACGCGGGGCACGCTGGGGGCAGGGCCACGGTCATCCAAGGGAAAACTCTATGGACCCGTGTGGTCGCGTCACTTCCTGGTGATGTGGATGCGGTGCGCTTCGCGTGCGCACGTGCACTCCAGGATCAACCCGGGAGTCCCCCGCTCCGAGCCAAGGTAGGACTTGGCAACCCTATCCGCAGCCCAAACACAGTCAAGCCTAGCTTGAAACGAGATCACCTCACTTCCCCTTTTCTCATAGTTCATGCACTGTCTACAAAGTTCTAAAGAAACATATTGGCCACAGACGCATGCTGACTCTCCTCTAATGCACACACATCAGATGTGTCTGTGTCCCATGCATACTGGGCAAGTAAAGCAAACAAGTGAACACCCTCTCACACACCCTTTGACGAACTTTCTCCCTCTTCCAGGCAGTCAGTAGAATAATTGGAGACAGGAAAGGTGGTCTCGGTGACAAAGGTCACTTACCTCAGGACGGAGTTGTTTGCCGTGGCTTGGATGCTGTTGGGAAACAGGGTTTTTTTTCCTCCCTAGTTCCCCACAACACCCTGGTGAGAGACACTTTTTTTACATATCAAACACTACTGCAGGGATCGACAACCTTTTTGAGACTGCAGGTGGCTTTGGAATTTTGACACAGAGTGGTGGGCACAGCTACAAATTGGCTGCCATAAAATGGCTGCTGCGTGAGGTTTAATCAGCCACAAAATGGCTGCCACAGCTTACCTTCAGTCACTCAGTGAAGATCCTTGTGCTGTGGCAGCAGCTGTTGCCAAAGCAATGTTTTTTTTGTTTTTTGTTTAATCTGCACAGTCAATCAAATCTCCAGTGACCCATCAGAAGCACTGCTGGGCAAAAGCCCTGCCTGGCCCAACCCACTTTCTAAAAATACTTGGCAGGTACCAGGAAAGGGGTCAGCGGTAGGGATACCATTCCCTGGGTGGGGTGGGGTATGCCCCGCTTTCATGGGCTCTGCTCTGCTGCTGGTCAGCAGGAGCAAATCCCCCCCCCCGATGCCATACACAATGCGCTGACATCACCTGGAAATGACATCAACGCGTTGGTGACATGGAGGGGTGACACTCTGTTTTTTGGGCAAAACTCTATGGTTTGAGGCTGTTTTTACCATAGAGGTTTGCCCAAAAAGCAGAGTGTCGCTGTGGCGTCCTCTTATTAGGGAGGACTGGTTTTCTATTTAAATTTATACTTTGTGTTCATAAACAGGGTAGATTTGGCTCCCACCAGGAATTTAAACAAATTCCAAAACTTTTCTCATTAGCTGTTGGTAAAGTGACCTCGAGTCTGGGCTTTTCAAGGGTCTCTGTGGTCCTGAGGGAAGAATGAACTGAATTCTGGAACTCAAACAAAATGTAATTCATTGAATAAAAATGTAAACACAAATAAGTTGTTTGTTAACTATAACTGTTTAGGGGAAGAGAAACTGGGAAAATTAGCTGTCAGGGTATCACACACAGTCTCTGGTCACAAGATCCTTCTCTATTAAGAATCTCCTTTTCAATAGACCCTCACTCTGGCTAAGCTCTCTATTTTCTTCTTAGTTTTCTTTTAAACTTTAGGATGTCTCAGATCCTTCTCGTAACTCTTCCACATTTAAACTTTCAACAATGTTTTTCTGAACACTTCAAGTTTTCACACAGCACTCTGTCTTTCTCTCTGACAGACTCACTAACTGACAGACTCTCATTCAAACTCCAACTGAACTGCTTCAAGACACACACACACTCATTCCAAGCAATCCCCTCCCACACTCTGCCATCCACCAATCACATCACACTAGTTTCTCTCAATCATTCTACTCTGCTATCACTGCCCTCAAACCAAACATTTAAAGACACACTCTCACTAAAAACAAGGAATCATTACAGTCGCCCCCAACATCATTGACACACTGACGGCACTTCCAGGTGATGTCAGTGTGTTGTGCGACATTCCCACTCACCCCTGGAACATCCCCCAAATCACCCTGATGGCGCAACAAATGGACGTGGCAACTCTAGTCTGTGGGCACTATGGAACCCACGGGCAACACGTTGGCTAATGCCTGCCCTGTAATCAGATAATCACAGCCAAATTAGATGTGACAGTGTCGTCATGGCTGCTGCCACCATGTTAGTGATTTAAAAATGCCTTGAGGGCCCTATCCCAATCAGACCTACAGCACACTACTCTTCTTTCCTCCCCCTACCTTTTCAAGTGCCAAAACAGCTGCGGATATGGGGACAGCTGTTTCGGCACTTGATAAGTCGTGGGGGGGTTGCAATAAGAGTGCCTCAGGCTGCCCTACTGCAGTATTCTTAAATCACTTTAAAATAGCAGTGGTGTCCTCGTGGCAACCATGAGGACACTGCCATGTCCAATTTGGCTAGACTGGTAACTCACAAGAAGTTATTAAAAGGTGTTCTGTATATGTTCCATATAAATGAACTACTGCAGTTTATTATGTCATAATGACATACTCAGGTTTTCCTAACAGTATATTCTATGTGGTCAAGATTATCATCCAAAAAGTGATTCAATTCTTCTGCCAGTGTTTGGTGAAATATGGAATATCTGGTGTACAAGAAGGAAGAGAAACTCCTGTATGGAACAACACCTGGAAAACTAGTCAAAGAAGGATATGGGGTTCTTTCCTCTGCTAAGTGTTATTTCCTTGTGTGTCCTCCAGAATGCAGTTCTTCAGCTGTACCCTCCTCAGAAGTCACCTTGAACCAAAAGGAAAGGTGGGCTATACATTTTAATATACGACACTGTGTATAATGGATGTATGTTTAAGGTAGATCTATTTTGTGCTTTTTATTTTTATTTTTTAAACTTTTCTATACTATTAGATAAATATCGGTAAGTATTATCAAACATAGGTTTCACCAAAACAATGCATCAAAATGCAGGATTATACTGTGTTCAAACATTCAAACAGCACCTTGTCAGTTTCACAATCACTCAGGGGACGCTAGTAATTTACCTGTTATCGAATACAACCTTTTTCAAGGACAGTGATGTACATACAGGACATAAGGCGCAATAGATTCTCTTTGTGAGCATAAAACCCTTAAAATAGCAAATAGCAGCATACTCAAGAAATGTTGGGAGGTAGGTCTGTATTCTCTCCCCCACCCCTTCCCATCTTCACTGGAGTCCCAGAAACGGGCGTACAACTTGAAAGCACAGCTCACCAGAGAGCCAGAAGGGAAGAGAGAACAAGGAGAAAGAACTGAAGGAGTGAAAACTTTGGTCACTGCTGGAAAAAGTGAGATCATTCTCTTCTGAGCTGCCAACCCACTTGCAACACTTCTGGCCTTTTCCCACCTTCTCTTGTAGCACAGAATGAGAAGTTGCAAAACAAAGCACAGAGCCCACTTCCTCATGAGCCATAAGCCCATCTCTCAAATCTTGCCTTGTGAATGAATGTCTGGGAGGCAAGCGTTGTATGGTTCGAGCCAGCATAGCCCCAGGACCAGAAGAAAGGGCTGCATGCATTTCACCACCATGCCATGCACATACAGGTCAGTGTTGGGTGCTGAGTACAGCATTCAGTATTGTGAGAAACCTCAGCTTCCACTAAATAGAAAAGTGGATTGAGAAAACCTCTCTTGAGTTCAGGATCTGGGGGGGCAGTAGATTCAGGACAAGAAGGAAAGGGCTTCTTTGTACATCTATGTCACTGTCTTATGGAATTCACTGTCCCAGGATGTGATAAAGGCCCCAGGCTTTAAAAAGAAAACTGGATAAATTTGTGGTGGACAGGTCCATCAATAGTAATGATAGCTAAGTCCCAGTATATATCATTGTAATGTATTCAATTGCTGCCATTGAATGCATAACTGTATGTGAACAACATAATTGAATTGCCATGTAAAGCTTCGTCCTGGCCTAGGATCCAAATCCATCCAATCGCACTGCTAGCCCAGGAAGAACCATCCAATCACAAGTCAGCAAGCTCCCTGAGCGAGAATATCCATGATTGGTCCTTGTGCATACAACCTTATTGGTTGGTAATTGTACAGTAGGCGTGGCTATATAAGCAGGGAGAGTTTAAAAGCAGGACAGCTGCAATGTAAAAGCTGTTCTGGCTATCAGATGTTGATCCGTGTTGGAGTTGTGTTCGAGTTGTTGAATAAAGCTGAATCTTTGCTGAATCACTCTCCAACTACTTTGTTAAGCAAGCGACTTAACAATCATGGTTGCTCTTCCTCTCATGCCCTTCTTGTGGGTGTCCCAAGACCATTTATTTGACCTCTATGAGAAACAGGATGCTGGACTGGATAGACCTCTGGTGTCAACCGGGGGTTGGTGGGTGTCTTCTTCTGTTGATAGTTACCAAACATTTTCAGGATCACATGCTCTTCAGACATTACAGGAAAATAACAGAGGAAAGGTTTTCAATCCACCCTGAAAATGAGGGGACCAGCTATTATTGTTTGGGTGGACCTGTGGTCTCAACCTGTGAGGTTCTTCTTCTGTTCATATTTACTGAACATTTTCAGACTCACATATTCTTCAGACATTATAGGAAAGTTACAGGGGAAAATTCTCAATCCACCTTGAAAATCAGAGACCAGACTTTTGAGCAGAGGACTGTGCACATCTGAAAACAAAAGGGCTCTTGTGATCTGCGCACACACACCCACACCCCCATTTTTGTATAAGGATATAATTTTAGCACACATTAAGGGCTGTGAATAGGGCTGCAGTAATGCCTGTGAAATTTTAGGCTGTTCTTGGCATCCTGTATTGTCTATTCTACACTGCATTGCATTATATTTTAATTCTACTACACTGTGTTTATTGCATTGTTATTACTGATGTTCTCCACCATGTGTTGCAATGAGGAAGGAGGACTATAAAGGAGGTAAATAGATAACTAAATAAATGTATACGCGTATTCATATGCCTGCATCTGAAAAATCCATAAAGCACTTCCTGAATTTGTACAGTGAAAAGAGTGCAATAGAGGGAATATTTGTTCCACTTCTGTTTGTGAGGCTTTGAGGGAGTATTAATTTATCTACCGCCTCCTCTCCTGCGGTCACAACAGTGCATCCCACCTTCCTCTGTCTCTGACTCAGCTTCCCCTTTTGCCCCTTCCCTTTCCTACCCCTCAGTTTTGCAAATGACTCTCGCTTGCTTCACTTGACAACATTTTGCATCCACTGCCATGGCTTAAGCTGACACTTCTTTCCATTCAGGCAGCCTCCAGAACCTAGCTGAGGATGGATGCCCTGTCGCTGCTCATCTGTTTCTCGGCCACTGGTAAGTGCTCTCCTTGATTTAGAAGACATTGAGGGTCCAGACTCTTTGCTGGAGGCACCAAAATTTGAGCTAGATGGGACAGAAGGAGATCAGTGAATAGGTCTCCTGAAGACAGGGGCGAAAGCAAGCTGATATGGGCTGGGACCTTGTAGGCATGTTCAATTATACTGGAGAAAAATAGTGTTTCATATAAAGAGTATAACTGCGGTTGACTTACCTTTTGAACCAGAAGTCCTTTTATCGCAGCACTGGACAAATTGAACCTGTAGTCCCACAGAGTGGTCCCTTGCCTGCTTGCTGTTAGCGGCCGCGCAATAGCCTCAAAGTGGCATTCCAACAAAGTTCCATCAGTGTTTCTCTGGTCTGAGAAAATATGGGACCAATTTATAATGCGTAAAATAGCAGAAAGTCACAAACATGATACATTAAGGGGAGATAGCTCTGATTTTACAGAAATTTGGTTCCCAGTCTTGACATATTTTGCCTCACGTGAAATCATTCCTAACAATGTTAAATATAAAAAAAAACCATTAACCTTTTGACATAATGATAATGTTTTAGTACTTGGCAGGGTATGTCCTGGTTGTTGGCTTTTATGCGCCTATGCAGAGGCTGTTAGATTACTACCAACCAATATATTCATTATCGGCTATTATCCCCGGTGTAATCTCTTTATCTTGCGTTTTTTGTATTCTTGATTTTTTGTATTCTGTTGATGCAAATTTGTTTTCTCCTTAAATGGTTTGCAATTGTATAATACATAATTTTAAAAAATGGACTGGGACAAAGTAATTCTGGTAAGAAGGCCTGAAATGGTACCTCCCTTCTTCTGCTTCAAGCCCCTTCAGCGAGATAGTGGTGGTGGAAAGTGCCACCAAGTCATAGCCAATTTATGGCGACCTTGTAGATTTTCAAGGCAGGTGATGAACATGGGTGATTTGCCATTGTCTGCCTCTGAGAAGCAGCAACCGTGGGCGTCTTTGGGGGGTCTCCCATCCAAGTACTAACCAGGGCTGACCCTGCTTATCTTCCAAGAGCTGACGAGATCAGGCTAGCCTGGGCCATACAGATAAGGGCCAGCAAGAGAGTATCACAGAGAGTCCGATCAGATGGCTCTTTAGATCCACACGAGGCACGATTGCCTCACGGATCTAAAGGTAATGTCCAGACACAAACATCTGGGAAGTGTCCCTCTTCCGTGGGCATCCTGTTTTGCCATGCTTTGGAGCCGTACTTAAAAGATAGTACTTTAAATCTGGGGTTTTCGGTTACCTGCGGGACAACTGCGGACTTTCACCCGTCTGCTCGTTCCACCAGCGCGCAATCCTCCCGTCGGGGTGGTCTGATGTCAGACCATCTTGAGCGGGCGCCATTAAAAAAAATCTACACATGCGTGGATCAACAAGGACGCGCTGTGACGCCTATGCGCAAAAAGGACGTGCTGTGACTAGGAGCAGTTCAAGGAGCTGCGGTGGCTCAAATGGTTAAGACGCTGCAGGCTGTGGAAGGTCAGTAGTTCAGCAGTTTGAGACCCGAGTGTGCCGCATGATGGAGTGAGCTCCCGTCTCTAGTTCCAGCTCCTGCCAACCTAGCAGTTCAAAAGCAAGACATTGCAAGTAGATAAATAGGGACCACTTCGGTGGGAAGGTAACAGCATTCCGTGCGCCTTGGTGTTTAGTCATGCCGGCCACATGACCACGGAAACGTCTTCGGACAGTGCTGGCTCTTCGGCTTTGAAACGGAGATGAGCACTGACCCCCTAAAGTCGGACTCGACTGGCTTTCGAGCAAGGGAACCTTTACCTTACCAGGAGACCACAGATTATCCTTCCTCCATACAGTTTTCTCATTCGCTTCTCGTGGAGTTACTACAGGGGAACCATACAGGCACTACAGCTGTATGTTTCCCCTCGCAGAGCTAATTTGGAATAGGATGGGGGGGGGGAGGCTTGAGTCCTCCCTCCTTCTGAACTTCAACTTGAGTATAATGAACAGGGGTCATTTCGTAGAAAAAGAGCTAGGGGAACTCATTAGCATAACTCATTAGCATATGCCACACCCCCTGACATCACCGGAAGTGTGTCATAAGGCCACACCCACCACTCAGTTAGTCTTAGTCTTAAAGGTTAGTCTTAAAGGTGCTATTTATTTATTTATTTATTTATTTATTTTTGCGACTTATACCCCGCCTATTTTGCAGCAACAGACTAACACAGCTACCTCGGGGAAGCTCCTGGATGGGGCTGGGAGTCCTTGCGGAGGCCACGTGGAGTGGCCTCGGCCAGGCAGAGGGGGAGGATGCCAACTTACCCTCCTGCTTCTTCCTCCTTCTGCAACAGAATGAGGCTGGAAGCAGGGGGCGGCCGGAAGAAGGGGGCGGGGCTTCGTCGTGTGCCCCGCCCCCTGCACCTCACCCGGGGGAACTGCAATCCCCCGTGATCCCCCCCGAAATGACCTCTGATAATGAACAGGAGTCTGGTGGCACTTTAGAAAGTACTGACGTTTCCCCCCAGCCTAAACTTTCAAGGTCCTGACCTGGACGTCCCAGGCTATCCCAGTCTTATCAGATCTCAGAAGCTAAGCAAGGTCAGCCCTAATCAGTATTCGGATGGGAGACCACCAGGGAAGTCCAGGGCCGCCTCTGAACTTGTCTCTCGCTTTGAAAACCCGACAGGGTCAGCATAAGTCAGCTGCAGCTTCATGGCACCCGACACAAACACACGTTCATGAGTCATCCAATGTCAGGTCTGACTCACCAATGTTTAGGCTGGAATAAAAATTGGTTTTAAGGTGCCAGTGGCCTCCCCTTTTATTTTGCTGAGACAGACTAATCACACAGTTCTCCATCCAGAATTATCATCTCGGGAGATTCTGCTTTTGAGTAAAGAGCCACAAGAAAGCGGCTCACAACACAGAGCAGAAGTGTGTGGGAGATACAGGAAAAAAACAACCCTCTAAAAGCATAACCTCAAGAAACAATATGCACTCCAAATGCTCTATGGCCATTTTTATTTTATTGTATTTATTTTGCTGCAAACTTTTCTTCCCAGATTAACCAGCTGCTAAAGGGCTTTGTTGATTAATTGGTAGGACCCAGCTGCAAGTTAAAGGCACACCATGTATTTTCTATGGCTATTTCTTTTCCATTATGCTACTGTAATAGGGAATGAAAAATACACAAAGGAGATTTTCATTTCTAGGATTGTGGTAGGTTTTGCTGACTGAATTGTAAGGTATCTCCTGGTTCGGCTACCTCTCGGCTATGACCTCGGACTTGGACTCTCTCTCCGCCTGCGCTTTTGTTATCGTCTCCCACATCGGCTACCTCTCGGCTCTAACCTTGGACTGGACTTGGATTCTCTCTCTCTGCCTGCACCCCAGCCCGTGACACTAAGTTTATGTGAACAGAGTGGGTTTTAAAGGAAAAAATAGTCTCCCCATTAAGGCGGACGTCACACCCATCATCTCCAATAAATCTGCTTATATAATTACCTTGAGTGTGGCCACACGTGCCAGATAATGCGGGAGGTGGGTGGGAAACAAGGCTATTTGCACCGTAATAATTTGACCCGCCACTGCGTGATCAGATGCAGCGGCGGGTGACTCGAGTTTTTTCCTTCGCCGCGTGTTTCTGGCGCGCTGCAACGAGGGATCACTGACGCAATGGGAGCACGCTGGAGTGATCACATGGGGAAGTCCGTCTGCGGCCCGTCACAAACCCGTTTGATACTGCACTTTCCCCAGTATTTTTTAACTCTTTGGTGGCAACGGGTGCGGGACGCTTGCCAGATGTTTCCGTTTGATCGCGCACATAAAATCCACGGCATTCGTGCGTATCGCGCGGCTACTTCTGCATGTGATCGGACTCCTTGTCTTGCATTTTCATTAATCGCATTCATGGCATTTGCATTGCAAGTGAGCTTTGTCCAGTGCCAGAATAAATCTTGCAGCTATTCAGATTTTTTCCCTATGATGGGCAGTGTCTCCTTTGGCCTTAAATGTGTTTAAAGCAAAACTAATGGTTCAGCATTTATATGGCGCCCCAATTTGGGTTCAAGGATTTACATTTTACGCTTAATGTATTCAAACTTTCCTTTCTGGTTGCTCTTTCCAAAGAGCCCAAATGCGTAGCCTTGTTGGCAAAGCAATTGGAGCACATCTCAGCTTTAGCCTGATCTGCAGCAATTAAGCTCAGGTTGGCTCATGATCTGTCTGATTCTCTCCTGAGAACGATGAAATGGCTCCGATCTGATTCTTACACCAGTGCTTGGAACCATGGAATGGATTAGGAAATTGCTGAACTGGGATTTTCACTGACCTGCTTATTTACTGTGGGATTAAATAATGATTGTGATTGGGAGACTTAAAGAAATTAACCGGCAGCTTCTTAAAGGTCTTAAAGGTGCCACTGGACTCAGACTTTGCTCTTCTGCTTCAGACCAACACAGCTACCCACCTGAATCTATCTACACTGCTATTGTGATTGTCATGTCAAATGTGATTATGTGAATGCATCACAGCCTCCCATGGGATATGTATAACAACAGACCTTTCCCTTATTTTTGTGACTTTCATCAAAGTTGTATTTATTTGTTTGTAATATGACGCCCAGATAATAGGAATTTAAATCTGCAATATGAAACACAAACTGGGAAGAAGACAGGAGGAGACAGTCAATTCAATAAGCTTTGGATGTCACCAGGGCTTTTTTTGTTGAAAAAGCCCAGCAGGAACTCATTAGCATAATAGGCCACACCCAACAGCAGAAACTCATTAGCCTATTAGGCCACACCCCCATAGACGCCGAAGCCGAGCCAGCAGACAGAGAGACCATCAGGATCCCACCACCAGGGTGCCGGTAGGCAGTCCCACCCCCAAACATTAGATGTGGCCCAAGTTAGGAGTACAAGTTCTTAGAACGCAAAAATATGTGAACCGCCCAGAGACCCCCCCTGGGGGGTTAGGGCGGTATATCAAGTCGAAAGTTAAATAAAATAAATAAATAAATGTTACCACACCCACCTTTTGCTTCTTATTCTGTTTACTTTGTTTGTTGTCAAAACCCTGAGCTTTTTTTGTAGCAGGAACTTCTTTGCATGTTAGGCCACACACCCCTAATGTAGCCAATTCTAATGAGTTTCTGCTGTTAGATATTGCCTATTATACTAATGAATTCCTGTTGGGCGTGGCCAACTCAGGAGCCAGCCGGAACTCCGTTCCTGTGCGTTCCTGCCCCAAAATAGCTCTGGATGTCACAATAGCCCTTAAAATGGCACTGAGAGGTCAACTTATTGATTGCTTTTCCTAGTTAGATGGGTCATTTTGGAGATCTTTCTCCCCACATAACAAGTAATAACTGTGGGTCATCAAGTCTCAACTGACTAACGGTGACTCCAGGACCATGGAATTGTTAAGGCAAGGGATGAGCAGAGGTGGTTTGCTATTGCCTTCCTCTGTATAAGCCACCTTGGACTTCCTTGCTGGTCTACCATCCAAGTATTAACCATGACCAATTCTCCTTAGCTACCAAGCTCTTATGAAATCTGGTTATTCAGGCTGTTTCTCCCCACATGGAGGTCTCAAACTCCACAGACACTGCCTACCACCCCCTTCCTCTCAGCTTTCTGATAGCTCCTCCCCTGCCCACAACAGTGAAGCTGCTTATGAGGAGAAAATGATTAAGAGGCAGACAATGTTATTAGTACCCTTACTGGTACCAGTGCAGGGTCATCTAGCTTAAGTGACACATACCAGTTCAGTTCAGCAACCCCCATTTAGGCTTTCTATCCATATGACAGGATCAGCCAGTGTAAGCAAAAGCTAACACGGGAATCCGTGAGTAAAAATGGGCGTGCGGTGGCTGTAAAGAGATGGACTTCCTTTTCATTCCACCCACTTTTTCTGCCACCCATCTTCCAACCTTCAAACTGTGTGGGCAGAAGCATTTCATCCTTCACGCAGCCTTAGTCATTTCCCCTCCTGCTGTTACTCCTTTTTTGGTTGCCAAGGAACTCCCTCCTCTTTATTTCACAGTTTGCCCTCAAGGAAATGGTAGGAAGGAAGTAGAGGGGGTCACACATACTAGCTGTGGGTTTGACACTAATAGTGGATAGTTTGACAGACACACAAGCTGAGACCTAGCCAGCTTGTGCAGAGCAGACCTGGCTGTTATTTCCTGAACTGCATTGTGGGTAGTGGATAATGGAGTGCCCTGCTGGCCCTCGACTTTGCATCTTGACCCACAGCCTGATATTGGATTGTCAGCTGTGGTCTGGGAAATTCCTGTAGATTTGGGGGGTGGAACTTGGGGAGGGCAGGGTTTGGGGAGGGGAGGGATCTCAATGGGGTACAATGCCATAGAGTCCACCCTCCAAAGCAGCAGTTTTCCGCAGAGGAACTGATCTCTGTAGCCGGGATATCAGTTGTAATTCTGGGAGATCTCCAGGTCCCACCTGGAGGGTGGCAACCCTAGATAATCTAGGATATAACCTGTGGATTAGGCCCAGGGGCTGCCAAATTTCTGACCTTCCTGAGGTCACTTCCCTTTTGCTGTGTAAAAAATCTGATTCTGAACCAGTGATTTATCCCCTGTAGCGCTGATGGCTTGCCATGGATTCAGCGTAGATACAGAACGACCGATTATATTCCAGGAAGCAGCAGAAGGTTTTGGGCAAACTATAGTGCAGTTTGGAAGAGGAGCTGATGGAGGGTAAGTGTCCCTGGAGCCAGTGTTCTCTCTAAGCTGAGTTAGTGTGAGCGAACTCAGTTTTTTAGCCTCCAGCTCACACACTTTTGTCTTAGCTCAGGAAGGATGGCTCCAGAGCAAACTAATTAATGCAGTAGCCAAATGGCTCGTTCACAACTTTAATGTCAGTAGCTCACAAAGGCCCTGTTCACACGAGGGGTTTTGGGCTGGGAGAGGGATGGATCGGGGGGCCGCTGCAAACGGGCGCGATCCCACAGCAACATCTGGGAATTGTGCTGCGCCCATCCCCCACCCGTCCCTTCCGCCGAAAAAGCGCACCAAAAAAGAACCACCTAACCGGGTGGTTCAATCGAAAGGGCCGCGGCAAGTGCGGCCGTGGGATCGGCGGCGCGTCCTTGCGCCAGCGCATCCCTGGCCCCCAGCCGAACTGTGCATGCTCGAGCATGCGCAGTTCGGCAGCTTCCCCCTCCCATTCGTCTATTCCTCCCCGGCATCTGATCGTGCCGGGGAGCAACGGCGCATGGCTCACGGGATCCATGGGATCCCGCCCGCAGCGTCTCTATTTTGGTGAGGCTCTATTTAGCCGCACTTTCACTGGTGTTTTCCCTGCCGTGTGGCAGGGGCCAAAGTAGATTTTTTGCTCACAAGACTCCACAATTTAGAGAGGAGCATTGCCTGGAGCCACTTTAGATCCCCATGTGGGATCATTTGGCTCTTATAATGGGTACCATGGAGACCACCACCATCTTTCCTGGTGCCTACCAGATGTTTTTGGAAAGTGGGCAGAGCCAGGAGGAGTTCTTGCCCAGCAAGGCTTCTGATGAGCCACTGGATATTTGATGGGCTTTGCAGATTTTTTTAAAAATATATTGCTTTGGCAGCAGCTACCACCACAGCACAAGAATCTTCCCAGTGTGAATGAAGGTAAACTGCAGCAGCCATTGCATAGCTGGCTCCACCTGTTACAGCAGCCATTTTGTGGCTGTGCCCAGAGGTCATTTCGGGGGGAATCGCGGGGGATCGCAGTTCCGGGTGAGGTACAGGGGGCGAGGCACATGACGAAGCCCCGCCCCGCTTCTGGCCCTCATTCAGCCAGGAGGAGGCAGGAGAAGAGGGAGGGTAAGTTGCTTCCTCCCTGCCTCTCCCCACCCCTGCCTGCCTGGGGCCAGGGAGGGCCTTCGCGGGGCTTCCTTGCACTCCCGCTGGCTGCAAGGCCGCTGGTGGCGGCCGCGACCGTTGGGGTCGGGGTGTGTGGCCTTATGACACACTTCCGGTGATGTCAGGGGGTGTGGCATATGCTAATGAGTTATGCTAATGAGTCCCCCTAGCTCTTTTTCTACAAAATGACCCCTGGCTGTGCCTATCAGCTGTGTCAACATTCCAAAGGTGCCCACAGGTGTAAAAAGTTGAGGACTCCTGCCTTATGCCATCGTAGGCGACACCCCTGAAATTCATGTCATGTATTCTCACTCTTGTAGGGTGCTTGTTGGTGCCCCACTCCAGAGGGGGAATGTGAATGAAACGGGTAAAATCTATAAGTGTGAGCAGATGCCAGGCAAATCGGGCAGATGCCAGGAAGTCCCTGTACAACGTAAGTATACAGCAATGGGAGATCTGCTGGCCTGGGAAGCAGCAAACTGAGGAATGGAGCTGGGTTTCACAACTTCTATCCGGGGTACCAATGGATTCCGAGAGTCTGTAACCAAAAGTAAAAATTGGCTCTTGATGCTGAATCCAGTGGCCTGATATCCTGGAAGTTTGAATGCTTTTAGGATATGAGCGTTGAAAGCAGAGGGGGGGATTGCGGGGGATCGCAGTTCCCCCGGGTGAGGTACAGGGGGCCGGGCACATGATGAAGCCCCGCCCCCCGCTTCCGGCCCTCATTCAGCCAGGAGGAGGCAGGAGAAGAGGGAGGGTAAGTTGCTTCCTCCCTGCCTCTCCCCACCCCTGCCTGCCTGGGGCCAGGGAGGGCCTTCGCGGGGCTTCCTTGCACTCCCGCTGGCCTTGCAGGTCCACCGCCAGGCCCCCCCTTTTGGGGCTCGGCAGTGGAGCTGCAAGGCTGGCAGCGGCCGGGACCGTTGGGGGCGGGGTGTGTGGCCTTATGACACACTTCCGGTGATGTCAGGGGGTGTGGCCTTATGACACACTTCCGGTGATGTCAGGGGGTGTGGCATATGCTAATGAGTTATGCTAATGAGTTCCCCTAGCTCTTTTTCTACAAAACGACCCCTGGTTAAAAGCATTACGAGTCAGATACTGGGGGTGTGAAACCCAAGTGATGGGAGGTAGAGACATCTGGTGGGCTAAAGCTGGGGGAGAATTTGATCTGAGTTGTGTCCTCGGAGTAGCCTGAATAGCCCAGAGTAGCCCAAATTTGTCATAGTTTGGAAGCTAAGCAGGGTTGGCCACCATTAGCATTTGGGTGGGAGACTATCAAGGAAGACCAGGGGGGCTGCTATACAGTGGAAGGCAGTGGCAAACCACCACGGCTCCTCTCTTGCCTTGTAAACCCCATGAGGAGTTGTCATAACTCAGTTGCTGCTTGACCGCCGTTTATCATTAATATTTCTGATTGTGAGAGCTGGAGCAGCTTGTCAAGAGCCAAGAAATCCACACTGCAAATATCTTAGCCATGAATTCAGTAAGCAGCCTTAGGATGAAACTAAACATGAGAGGGAGAGGGGAGATCCATGAGTATTCATACACCGCATCTGAAGAAGGTGGGTGGGTGGGAGAAGCTCTGTTCTTTTTAGCAAAAGGAGAATGCGAGGGTGAAGGGAGCCAGACCCCCCACCCCTTCTCCCACCTTTACCATGTTGCAATCTGTCACTTTGAGGACTTTTCTCCCAGTCTGGTTCTGATACTGGAAGTGAGCCAGGCTGAAAGAAAAGCATTGAAACGAGGGCTATATTTGGGCAGGAACGCACAGGAGCGGAGTTCCGGCTGGCTCCCAAGTTGGCCACGCCCAGCAGGAACTCATTAGCATAATAGGCCACACCCAACAGCAGCAACTCATTAGGATTGGCTACAATTAGGGGTGTGTGGCCTAACATGCAAAAAGCCCTGGGTTTTGACAACAAACAAGGTAAAGAGAATAAGAAGCAAAAGGTAGGTGTGGCTGGATGACCACACTTCTGGTAACATGGGGGTGTGGCCTAATATGCGAATGAGCTGTGCTGTCAGGGTGTGGCCTGATATGCTAATGAGTTCCTGCTGTTGGGTATGGCCTATTATGCTAATGAGTTCCTGCTGGGCTTTTTCTACAAAAAGAGCCCTGAGTGAAACCACTAAAGTTCAGTGAGTTAAAGTCAGGAGGTGGTTTTGCCCCCTTGTCCACTTCCTCAGTTTTTGTTAAACAATAGACCAGCCTGCTCTCCACTTTAGATGTGGGGAACATGACACATATATACATTTTTAAAAATCATATTAATTTCCAGCTTTTTGTATGCTGCTTCTCTGCAACCTGCTCAATGTGGCTCACAATCAAACAATACCAACAAGTAAATAAAAATAGGTCAGTAAAAACTTGCCGTGCCATAGAACTAGCATAACACAGAATAGTCTAAAATGATATTAATAAAGCAGTCCATGGAGTGGAGAGCAGACCATAAAGAGAGGGATCCCCTTAGCTAAAAGCCCCGGTAAAGAGAAATGTTTTGTCCTGGCTCCTAAAAGAAAGTAAAGATAGGTGTAAAATAAGGTATATGAACCCTACTTCCTTGCTTTCTGGTTTCTCCTTCTCTGAGGCAAAGGTGTGACCACAGGAGACCACTGTGTCAGAATCAGTTGCTGAAAAAACGACTATTGAAGTCACCGTTGGGGGAGGAAGGGGGCTGGTTCCCTTCAGCAGGTCTTTTCTTCTGAGAGGGGAAATAACCTCTGCTGGCATTTCAGAGAAGAAATGTGGACAGGCAAAAAGTTCAGAAGCACCTCCTCCAGCTTTACAGTTTAACACCCCCCCCCCCGAAATTCAGTGACAGCCCAATTCTACCTCAAGCACAATATGGGGATAATGACATTGATCTTTGAGAGGTACCAATTGGGAAGATTAATGAAATGATGTGTGTGGAGCATTTTGAATACTCTGAAGTGCTGTATAAAACGCTAAGCATTCTGCGCCATAGGCGTTATTATTGGTGTAATGGCCTGCCTGAGGAGGTCAGGAAGGCTCCTGCATTTTTATTCCACAGAAGGTTTAACATTGAGTTGTTCAGGGGGGCCCTTTGACAAAGGGAACAGTGACGAGTGTGAAATCTGAGGGAGTTTTCACTGCTTTGTTCATTGTATTCATTACACAGCTACAGGGCTTCTCTCATTTTGTAATCTTGTTTGTTTCATTGGTTGATGCATGGATCATTTTATTTTATTTACTTACAATAGTTATTGGCCGCCTTTCTTCCATACGGAGCTCAAGGCGGCTGAGAATATTAAAAAAATACATAAAATAGATTACATTTAAAAAGAACATAAAACCAAACTGTAAAATTACTGTTTAGGATTGCTTTAATTAAATGTTTTCTTGTTACTGTAGTATTGTTTTATTTTATATAGTATTTTTTTCATAGTGCACTGCTGTCTAATTTTGAGTATATGTATTAGGCAGCGGTCACACACACTAAATAATCCACTTTCAATGCACTTTCCAACTGGATTTTGCCAGTTCACACAGTAAAAAACCAGTTGGAAAGTGCACTGAAAGTGGATCGAAAGTGGATTATTTAGTGTGTGTGACCGCAGCCTTAGACTGCTATGATTGCATTGTTTTTCATTGTGTCATCTGGAATCTCAGCAGAAAAGGTATACTGTAGATGTTTAGTTATGCTGGCCACGTGACCGTGGAAAAGTCTTTGGACAGCGCTGGCTCTTCAGCTTGGAAACGGAGATGAGCACCGCCCCCTAGAGTCGGATTCGACTAGCTTTCGAGTGAGGGAAACCTTTACCTTTTAGATGTAGTAAACAAATGAAGAATATGTTTTCTTCCTCCTTTCAGATCCCAGTGATGCTGTGAATATGTCACTTGGTTTGTCCCTGTCTGCCTGGGAATCCAGGTTTTTGGTAAGCAACTGAGGCAGATTATGAGAGGGAGGGCAGGAAGGGTTGTATCAGTGCTTAGTTCTTGTGGCCCTTTCTTTACATGCCCAGAGAAATGCTGATCGCCACTGTGGGGTCAGGAAGTTTTTCTCCAGTCTAGTTTGGCTGGGGGATCCTGGAGTTTTTTTGTCATCTGCTGGGCATGGAGCAGGGGTCACTGGGTGTGAGAGTGGGAGGAGGTATATGTGAATTTCCTGCATTGCGCAGGGGGTTGGACTAGATGACCCTGCAGGTTCCTTCCAACCAGTGTTCCCTCTAAGATGAGTTAGTATGAGCTAGCTCACAGTATTTTAGCCTCCAGCTCACACATGTTTGCCTTAGCTCAGGAAGGATGGCTCCAGAGCAAACTAATTTATGCAGTAGCCAAATCACTCCCTCACAACTTTAATGCCAGTAGCTCACAAAGTAGAATTTTTGCTCACAAGACTCCACAGCTTAGAGGAAGCATTTGTATGATTCTATTCTGTGTAGTCCAGTATTTTGACAGACGTTGGAACTGGTAGTCAGGGCTGTGGCAAGAGCCAGTGGGACCGACCCTGTATCCCTACTGGTTGAGGCTTATCCAATCTTTTCTTTGGAAACACCAAAGGAGAGAGCAGGTGAGGCTGGGGTTGTCAATGCCAGCTTGGGAAATTCCTAGAGATCTCTGGGGGCAGCTGTGGAAAGTAGGGTTGCCAAGTCCATCTTTCACCCCCAGCGGGGGACTTTGGGGGCGTTCCTGGAGGGGGTGGGGCATCCCTGACACGATGACGTCACGTTGGGGATGTCCCCCCCCCACCCGTGCACCAGGTCTCCAGAAACGGCAGTTCCCTGCACTCAAAGGAGCCGGCGTTTCCCTTTTAAATGCAGGAGCCGGCATTTCCCCTTTAAGAGCAGCTGCATTTCTCTTTTAAGAGCACGAAGCTGGCATTTCCCTGCAAGCTTGTAGAGATCAGGCTTGGGAGGAAACATGGGTTCCACACACTTAAAGGGAGAGAGATGGGTGGCTGTGGGTGTTGGGGGTGGGGCTTCCCCCGCCAGCCATCTGGCCGGCAGCGGGTAGAACCCCCCAAAAAACGGGGGACCCCTGGCAAACCGGGGTTTTTGGCAATCCTAGTGGAAGGGGACAGAGACTGTGGAGGGGAGAGAGCTCAGCTCAGCAGCTATGTAATGCCACAGAGTACAGACACCAACGCTGCCATTTTCTCCAGGAGAACTGATGACTGTAGTCTGGAGACCAGTTTCTAATCCCAGGAAAAGTCTAGGCCCCAACGGGAGGCTGGGATAAGGCCTACTGTATTCATTGCAACCTGATAACTTTTGGGAGGGAAGGAAGGAATAAGGTTGCCAGTCCCCACTGGGGCAGAGAATTTACCCTTACCCCAGCAGGCACTCCCCACTGCCACTCAGCTAGCTGACAGGGGGAAATGGCACCAAAACTGTGGGCGGGGGGATGTCAACAGCATCCCAGTGTGCTGACATCATTCTCTATGTGCCTGGAAGTGATGTCATTGGGGATGCTCTGGCATTTGGGCAAAACTCTATGGTTGTGACATGTTGATGTCACTATCGGTGCAGACAGGAAGTGACATCAGCACATCACTGGTGAGGGCCCCCAGCCACCCAGTGAGTCCCCGCTATTGGGGATAGAAAGGGTAGGCAGGAAGGAGGTAACAAAGAGATCAAACTTTGGCTACAATGCCAGTGAAATGTTTTTGCATCTAGAACATAATTAACACCCACCATTAAACACAAGTGGAATTTTCCTAAACATATTCCTAATGGACTTTCCCATAAGAATTTCATGTCTCTTCCTGTCTCCTGAGGAATGCTTATCCCACCTTTGAACAACAGACCTCAGAATTTGCCTGAATAATTAGTGGGCAAGGACTAGTGGATAAGACTTCCAGGGCCAAGAGAATGAGGATTCTAGGTAGGGTGAACCCCAGGCCCTTTTATGTTAAGGTTTTTTAAACCTATATAAAAAAATCTATGAACTACCTGCGGCAGCCTCCAACAAGTGGGCCCAAGTGATTACAAAACAAAACAAAAAGCCTAACTATCCATTGCTAATCACCACCCCTTGGTTCTACAGGCCTGTGGTCCCAGAGTGCATCAGACCTGTGGGCAAAACACGTATCTCAAAAGCTATTGCTTTCTCCTGGACCAGAACCTGAGGGAGATACAGCACTTCCCCGACGTTCTGCCAGGTGAGGCCAGGATGCAAAGGAGGAAAGGAATAAACAGAAGCCACAGACCACCTCTGGGCTGGGAAGATGGGGATCTGGGGAACATACTGGCCTAACCTTTTGGGTGGGGTGTGGGAAGCCTAGTTTCTATGCTGTATTGGGAAGAAATATTGGTCTGCCTATACTTCCATTTTATATAAATGAACATGTGATACATTTTTTCCTGGCAGATTTCCCCCTGCCTTAAACAGCAGTGTAAAAGACAAAAAATTAACTTCGGCCCCTGGCCATACGGCAGGGAAAACACCCGTCAAAACGCAGCTAAATAGAGCCGCACCAAAATAGAGACGCGCGGGCGGGATCCCATGGATCCCGTGCACCGCGCGCCATTGCTCCCCGGCACGATCAGATGCCGGGGAGGAAGAGTCGGGGGGAGGGGGTGGCTGCCGAACTGCGCATGCTCCTGGATACAACCACCTAGGTAGGTGGTTCTTTTTTAGTGCGCTTTATCGCCGGTTGGGACGGATCAGGGATGGGCAGGCAACGCTGGCCAGATGTTGCCGTGGGATCGTGCCCATTTGCTCCGCCCCTGTTCCGTCCCCCTCCCAGCCCAAACCGCCTCGTATGAACAGGGCCTTCTTTTCCCAGTTTGGGAGTTGCAGCGATGCAGTGGTGGAAGTTTCACCTGTTGAATTTCTGCCCAACATGGAGCTGTTTAAAGCTCAGGGAGTCCTGCTGGCTAAAATGGTGGTAACTCCAATGTCAGTGAATGTCTCCTTTCAGAACCATGGTAACTGAAGGAAGATAACTGGGCCTTGTTCAGACTTCACTTTTTACAAACAGATGAACATGCTGACCAGCTTAGAAACACAAACACACAACTTTCGAATGTCTCTTCTCCCCACCCCTTGTAGACTGTACACAGGATCACACCTTTTTATTCTGGAATAATTGCAAGATATGCCCATAATGACTACAACGGGTTGCCAGTTGAATAGGAAAACATCCTGGCCAAGTCCCGAGATGTCAACAGGATACAGCTATGGGGGCCAGCTGAAAAATCACAGTCCACCAGACAGTTCTACTTACCAGTGCTCACTAGGGTTGCCAGGTCTGGGTTGGAAAATACCTGGAGACTTTGGGGGTGGAGCCAGGAGAGGGTGGGGTTTGGGGAGGGGAGGGGCCACAGCATAGAACAATGCCACCCTTCAAAGCAGCCGTTTTCTCCAGGGGAGGTGATCTCTGTCAGCTGGAAATCAGTAGTAAAAGTGGGAGATCCCAAGGCCCCTCCTGGAGGCTGGCAACCCTAGGTGCAGTTGCCAACTCTGGGTTGGGAGATTCCTGGAGATTTGGGGAGCAAGAGGAGACTTTAGGGAGGCGAGGGAGGTCAGCAGGGATGTGATTCTGTACAGTCCACCCTCCAAAAGGGCCATTTTCTCCACTTGAAGTGATCCCTGTAGTCTGGAGATCAGTTGTGATAGTGGGAGAACTTTGGGGCCCACCTGGAGGTTGGTAACTCTGTGGCCCTGCTCTGTGGCACAAACTTCCCAGTGGGTCGTGCCCTTATGCAAGTCTCACTGAGTTCATACTTCCCAAGTGTGTGCATATCGGGTTCTTGAGCTTCCCACAGAATCCTAACCCAGTGCTGTCAGGAGGGAGTGATTTCAATAGGAAGTAGGGGCCTGCAGGTAGGCCGTTGTAGGCCCACCTCAAGCATGCACTGAAAGGTCCACTGCCCATGTCATATATCAAGATACACTGTTATGTTCACATGGTTCCCCCTGGCCGTGGGCAGTTCTCCTTGACCTGGATGGCCCAGGCTAGCCAGATCTCATCAGATCTCAGAAGCTAAACAGGGTTGTCGTGGAAGTAGTCGTGGAAGTAGTGACAGACTTCACGTTCCTGGGATCCCAGATCACCGCAGACTGTGACCGCAGCCATGAAATTAAAAGACACCTGCTCCTTGGGAGGAAAGCGATGGTGAACCTAAACAGCATGATAAAAAGTAGAGACATCACCCTGCCAACAAAAGTCCGCATGGTCAAAGGTCATGTATGGCTGCGAGAGTTGGACTATAAGGAAGGCCGAGCGCCGAAGAATAGATTCTTTTGAACTATGGTGCTGGAGAAGACTCTTGAGAGTTTCTTGGACTGCAAGAAGATCAAATCAGTCAGTCCTAAAAGAAATCAACCCTGACTGCTCCCTGGAAGGCCAGATAATGAAACTGAAGCTCAAATACTTTGGCCACTAAATGAGAAGGGAGCACTCACTGGAGAAGAGCCTGATGCTGGGAAAGATTGAAGGTCAAAGAAGACGGGGACGGCAAAGGATGAGATGGTTGGACAGTGTCATAGATGCAACGAACATGAAACTGAGCAAACTTCAAAGGACGGCGGAAGACAGGAGGGCCTGGCGGGAGTTGATCCATGGGGTCGCGAAGCGTCGGACTCGACTGTGCAACTGAACAACAACAACAAGTATTTTGATGGGAGATCACCAAGGTGGTCCAGGGTTGCTATGAAGAGGTAGGCCAGAGCCCGTTCGCAAAACACTTCTGTTCATAGGGTTGCCAGGTTCCCCCAGGCCACTGATGGAGAATGGGGGGTGGTAAAGTTGCCAGATCCAGATTGGGAAACTCTTGGAGATTTGGGGGTGGAGCCTGAGGAGGACGGGGACCTCTGTGGGGTACAATGCCATAGATCCCACCTTCCAAAGCAGTATTTTCTCCAGGGGATCTGATTTCTGTAGTCTGGAGATAAGCTGTAATTCCGGGGGATCTCCAGGACCCACCTGGAGGCAGGCATCTCTGTTTGTCTTTTGCCTTGAAGCCCTATGGGCTTGTCATTAGTCACCTGCAACTGGACAGCACTTTCAACCACCAATGGGCATCTTGTCCTCTAGAATGTGCAAAACGAGCCAACGACATCGTTCTTCTGATAGACGGCTCAGGAAGCATTGACGGTCAGGACTTCAGACAGATGAAGACGTTCATTTCTGAAATCATGAAACGCTTACTCAGAGTCAGCTCCAACACACAGGTAATGCTGGGAGGGAGAAGTCAGGTGGGTTATGGGATGAAGCAATCATGCACGGGATCCATGGAGTTGTTTCTGCTCAAGGGCCTGTCACATGTGGAGAAGGCTTCATCCCATAGCCACAGGAGGTGGTGGCGGCTACAAGCATGGACGGCTTCAAAAGAGAATTAGATAAGCATATGGAGCAGAGGTCGATCAGTGGCTATTAGCCACAAGGTATAGATATATATATGGAGCTGCGGTGGCTCAAGTGGTTAAGACGCTGAACTGCAGGCTGTGGAAGGTCAGTAGTTCAGCGGTTCAAGACCCGGGTGCCGCAAGACAGGGTGAGCGCCTGTCTCTAGTTCCAGCTCCTGCCAACCTAGCAGTTCGAAAGCAAGAAATTGCAAGGAGATAAATAGGTACCACTTCAGTGGGAAGGTAACAGCGTTCCGTGCGCCTTGGTGTTTAGTCATGCCGGCCCCATGACCACGGAAACGTCTTCGGACAGCGCTGGCTCTTCGGCTTTGTAACGGAGATGAGCACCGCAACCCTAGAGTCGGATTCGACTGGCTTTCGAGCAAGGGAACCCTTACCTTTACTTTACTTATAGATAGGGACTCTGGGGCAAGTGATGCTCTGTCATCTTGGTGCTTGGGGGGTCAACAGTGGGAGGGCTTCTAATGTCCTGGCCCCACTGGTGGACCTCCTGATGGCACTGGTATTTCTGGCCACTGTGTGATACAGAGTGTTGGACTGGATGGGCCTTTGGCCTGATCCAACACTGGCATCTCTTATGTTCTTATGTAAGACTGCTCATGCTGGGGACTAGCTCCATGCTTCTGAGGCCAAAAAGCCCAACTCTGAACCCCCCAGAGCTGACATAGATTGAAAAGCTCTGTGCTTATAGTCAGAAGCATGACCTTTAAAGCACCCTGTGACATGGGACCCACATATTTTCAGGACCATCTCCTTCCATATGTCCCTGTGCACCAACTATGGTTGTCAGGCAACCATCTGTTGGCTACCCCACCACTTAGGATGGCTCATCTGGCACTGACCACCCCCATTAAACATGCAGAATTTTTAACACAATGTCTGTATCAGTTGCGTATAAGCAGGGGTCATTTCGTAGAAAAAGAGGTGCAGGAGCTCAATAGCATAACTCATTAGCATAACTTATTTGCATATGCCACACCCCTTGACATCACCGGAAGTGTGTCAGAAAGCAACACCCACTGCTCGGGCTCTACTGGACTGTTTTGGATTGCTAGCTATGGGAGGGGGGATGCGCAGATCTGCCCTCGCAGAGGAAGGAGAGCTTGTACCTGAATAAACCTTGGCCTTAAAGGTGCCACTGGACTATTTTGGATTGCTATCTATGGGGGGGGATGCACAGATCTGTGCAGGAAGGAAGGAAGGAAGGAAGGAAGGAAGGGAAAAGAAGGAGGGAAAAAGAAAGAAAGAAAGAAAGAAAGAAAGAAAGAAAGAAAGAGGGAGATAAGAAGAGAAAGAGGGAAAGGAGAGAAGGAAAGAAGGGGAGAAAGAAAGAGAGAAGGGAATAAGGACAGAAAGAAAGAAAGGGAAAGAAAGACAAGGAAAGAAGGAGGGGAAGAAAGAAAGAAAGAAAGAAAGAAAGAAAAAGAAAGAAAGAAAGAAAGAAAGAAAGAAAGAAAGAAAGAAAGAAAGAAAGAGAAAGAAAGAGGGCAAACAGATGGGGAGGGCTCTGCAGCTTACCTGGCTGCTTCTTGCTCCTGTGACCCAGGTCTGCTGGGAGCACAGGGCGGGGCTTGTTGCATGTGCCCGCCCCCTGGGCTCTTTACTGCCGGAGCTCTGCTCCTGTGCGCTCCTGCAGGAAAAGACCCCTGCGTATAAGTGACATATAATGTATGTATAAGTGACATATAATGTAAAAGCAGTGTAAAAATGGCATAAAATAAAGAAAAAATCAGGACTGCCAGAACTGAAAAGTAGTGAAAAGAGAAAGTTCACAAAGACAACATACAGAAAGATACAAAGAAAGGCACATTTATACATCCCGAAATACCACTCCCTTCACTATGAGATGAGGATATGCACATTATTGCTTGGAGTAAAGGCAGAGGCACCGAAGTTGCCCCAGTGTTCTTTGGTCAAACGCATCTTGGGTAATGGATAAGACATGGGCTGATTTCAGACAGCCTATGTATTCCATTTCAGGAACTGGTTACTAATGGATTTTTTCTGTCATTTCAGACAGACCCATTTTAGTAACTGGTTTCTAACGGAATATATTTACCTGTTCAGACAAACACGCTTCTGTCCTGATCGGGAAGGGTGCCTGAAGTGTTGTTGACTCAAACGGCTTTCTCCAATCTTCAATCCTTCCTACCGCTTCTGAAGCGCTATGGGGTGCCGTATAAAATGCCCTGTAGCGCTTCCTGTGATGACAGTTCTTTTTGCGCACTTTTTCTCCCTGTGTGTGATCATCCTCTTTTTTTTGGGGGGGAGAGCATTCTATTGGGAGCGCTATGGCACTGAAACACTGACATTCACTACTGCTGTCACCTGGAAACAAGTACCTGATTGGACAGTGTATTTAAGCGGGAGATCAGGGGCATAAGTGAATGGTGAGACAGATATTTGGTCGATTTTTTAAAAAATTGCTTTAGAGGAAGTGTAGACTCAGGCACATGCACACACAAGCACACACAGTCTATGGTTTGTGGGAGTTAAGGAAGGAAGGAAAGCTTCCTGGGTTTCAAAACTAAGCTAATCCAACAAATCTAGCCATAGAAAATGCTACAAGGGAAATATACTAGACTTCACAGTCTGAAATCTTGATAAAGCCGATCTGAAATGCATCTTCTGTCCAGATTATTTATTTATTTATTCAGATTTCTGTGCGGCCTCTCCAGAGTCCTGCTCCAGGGAGTTTACAATTAAAAGTGAACGTTATCCAGTGTTCTTTATTCTTCTGGGAAAACATATATGTTGGGTTTCAGCTGGCAGTTTTTGTAGAGTTTTGTTGTTTAAAAACCCATTGTAGTCTTTCAGGCTCCTCACAGACAGGCTTGGAAATAAATTGGCAAAGCCTGGTGTAGAATAAGTGGGGACAGACTGGGGAAAACTCCCGGGGGGGGGGGGGGCCCTCTAAGTACAATTTCCAGAGGTTGGTTTGATGAGTTTTTAGGCCAAGAGGGCACTGGCCTTTTAACTCAGTGGCCTGCTGTCCTGGTGGCCTGCTGGTATCCTGGAACAAGCTGAGATGAGCCCCAGCAGTGTAGGTAGCCCTGCAGAGCCGCTCAGCTCAGACCCAGCCAGTAGGGCTTCAGTGCCAACCTCCAGGAGGGGCCTGGAGATCTCCTGGAATCACAACTGATCTCCACAATACAGAGACCAGCTCGCCCAGCGGAAATGGCTACTTTGGAGCCCGCAATCCGTGGCATCACACCCCTGCTGAGGTTCCTGTGCTCTCCAAGCCCCACCCTTTCGAAGCTCCATTCCCCCAAATCTCTAGGAATTTCCCAATGGAGTTGGCAAGCCTACTGGCGTCAGTGCAGGAGGAAGCTTCAGGCAAGCCTCTGGCCATCATTCTCATTGCCTGTGGCCAAGTTAGTGTTGCCCACTCTGGTTTGGGAAATATCTGGAGATCTGACGTGGGAGCCTGGGTGAGGGAGGGATTTGGGGAGGGGAGAGACCTCGGCAGGGTGTAATGCCATAGAGTCTGCCCTCCAAAGCAGTCATTTCCTCCAGGGGGAACTGATCTCTGTCGCCTGGAGATCAGTTATAATAGCGGGAGATCTCCAGTTGCCACCTGGAGGTTGGCAACCCTAGGCCAAGTCCCAGCTGAATGGCCATAGGGCCATTTCGGCATCTCAATCCACCCCTCCTTCAGGACCTTGCCCTTTGCCTCTCCCCAGGATTAACAGAATGCGCCAATTCAAAAATATGCAAATAGAACCGAACTTGTTCAATATGCCCAGGCAAGCTGCTGTATTCAGTTCTTCTTGCTGCAGGATTTAGATCTTGCCGAAATACGGACCTCGCCCCCCCCCCCCCCCGAATATATAGGTTTGCCCCTGAAAGCTAAATATTGATGTAATTTAATTTTTGCATTTACAATATTTACAAGGTAACAGTCAAATAATTACAATCAAGCCCTGTAAACTCGCATAATTAATAACACTGAAATAATTAATGAAATACATCAAAACAACAATAAAAATCAGCACTGTAAAAACACCCTGTAGGTATGACCAGGGCTATTTTTGGGCAGGAACGCACAAGAACCGAGTTCCGGCTGGCTTCAGAGTTGGCCACACCCACTACAGTCAAAACCTCTGCATGCATGGCTACAGAGGGGAAGGCCTGGAGAGCGACACACACCCCCTCCAGCGACTCCCAAGACGGGTGGGCCAGTGCCTCCCCCGGCCTGTCCAAGAGCGGGCTTGCCTGGGCTCCCCACATAGGGTTGCCAAGTCAAAAAAACTCACCGGCGGGGGAGCCTCGCCGGGCTCCGGGAGCTGTCTCCGGATGCGCGAGCACGCCGCCAGCACGTCACCGGAAGTTACGCGCGACATCAACCACGTTGAGGGTGTGGCCCCGATCGTCGGAGGGAAAACCATAGTGTTTTCCCTCCAATGATCCGGGCCACGTCCCCAACCTGGTCGACGTGGTTGCATCACCTCTGGTGACGCAGCCACACTGCGCTTCGGGGGGCGGAGTTCCCCTGGGGCTCGATTCCACGGCGGCAGAAATCGGGCCTCCAAAGCAGGGGTTTACCCGCCACCCGCCCCCACTTGGCAGCCCTATCCCCACAGCCGTGGGGTGCCCAGGCAAGCCAAGGGAAGGCATGGGGTGTGGCCTAATATGCTAATGAGTCTCTGCTGTTGGGTTTGGCCTATTATGCTAATGAGTTCCTGCTGGGCTTTTTCTACAAAAAAAGCCCTGGGTATGACGATGCAAATTCTCTCAGCCATGTTGCCACACCCTCTCCTTGGTTCTTCCCGTTTTGTGTCCAACTCCCTCTTTTCGTTTCAGTTTGCCTTGGCCCAGTATTCAAACAAGTATAAAGAGCACTTCACCTTCAGCCAATTCCAGAACAACCCGAATCCTGATGCTCTCGTTAGAGGTGTTGCACAGCTGAGAGGGGGAACTTACACAGCTACCTTTATCCAGAAGGTGGTGTAAGTATTTCCTCTTTGTTCAGGTGATGCAAAAAGAGATTCTGTGCAGGGTAAGGTTGCCAGCCAGTGGATGGCGACTGGCAGATGTCTGCGAGGGGGGACATGGGGGGGGGCATCAGTAGCACAACCATCCCCCCCCTCCAGTGTGGCAGGGGTAGGCGGGGGCTGGGGCAGGAGATCTCCCGCCCCTAAATGGCATCCCTAGTTCAGGGACCTGGATTTGCCTTTATCTGGATGGCCCAGGGTAGCCTGATCTTGTCAGGCCTTGGAAGCTAAGCAGGGTCAGCTCTGGTCAGTATGTGGATGGGAGACCACCAAGGAAGTCCAGGGCCGCCACATGGAGGCAGGCAATGGCAAACCACCTCTGCATGTCTCCTGCCTTGAAAACCCCACAGGGTCACCATAAGTTGGGTACAGCTTGATGGCACTTTACATTATATGCATAGTACAGGGTTACACACACACTTTCTAAAAACATTTTTGTTCTCTTTCAGTTCTGATAGAATTCCAGGCTGCTTCCGCAAGGTGGTTTTGCTCTGGTTTGGGTTTTTGGGGAACATCCACATGCCATCATCTCCTAGACTATTTACATATGGGTTATTTGTCCCAGACGCAATGCTGTTGGGAAGTAGGTTTTTATCCTGCTTACCCACAGCACTGGGGTGAATTTACGCCCCTCCTAAGCAGGGCTGCCAGGACGACTAGATTAGTGGGGGGGTCTCCCACTGGCAGCCCTCTTCCCGTCTGCCTCCCAGTGGGCCAGCGAGGGGGAGAATGGCTTCTGGTGTGACCAGGAAGTGACATGACCACATAGGGACCACATAGGGACAACACTCTAGCAGTCATCAAAAACTCCATGGTAATTTTTTTTAAGTAAGTCTCTAGCCTTTTCATCGTGGAGATATGCCTTTCCCCTCAGTCACAGAAGGTGCTAATGACTCACTTTTTTTTTTTAAAAAAAGAAAGCTGTGAATCATGAGAACCCATTACACAAATTGTTATAATGGTATATCAGTATAATATTTAAATGCCAATAAAAAGCCTGCTCCATAGCGGGGGGTGGGGGATGGCCATGGTAGGGGAAATGGCTGGACCAGGACAATCCAACCGTTCCTGTCCACAGGGCAGCCATCCAGGCTCACGTTTGAGCTTTACATATGCATATGGTATTTTGCATAGGCATGTGGTATTTTTCTGCTCCTGCAAGAGAAGTCTATTCATTCGATTCTCTAGATGGCAGTGTGTCACACTCTGTAAAGAGAAGTCAGTGGAATCTCTCTAGGGCTACCTGGATTGGCTTGAGGACCAGAAAACTAATTGCTATACACTAGACTTTAGAGTACAGCCAACTGTTTGGGGGGTGTTTTTGCAAGCTTTCTTGTTTTTAAATAGTAGCGTGGCAGGCAGAAGTTCAACAGACAAAGCTTTCCACAGAAGGGAATGGCAGAGACTCCTTTAAGGCAGCTCTTAAAGAGAACGTATTTAAGAAAATAGCTCCAGGTTAACGAATGGAAATTTGTTTGAGAAAGGGGGACAGGAACTGCCTGAGCATTACCAATAATGAAATGGAAACAGAACCCTTTCCAATCTTCAGCTGCGGTGGGGAGTGAGTGTGGTGGGGCTCTTCCACAAACTGGGGGAAACTCCTGTAAGGATGCTGTGTAGCTACTGTGAATGCCTCTGCATTTAAGCTACTCAGAGTATCGTAGTCATGTAAAAGGAGCTTCAGTGTGGTCCTGCAGGTGAGAGCTGTAAGTATTCAATGGGGGAGTATTCAATGGGGGGGGGGGGAAACATGATCAATGTCAAACTAGCACTAGAACCATGTGGCACCTTTAAGACCAACAAAGTTTAATTCTTTGGGTATAAGCTTCCAGGTGCATGCACACTTCTTCAGATGTATGTGCATGCACTCGAAAGGTTATACCCAGAATTAAACTTTGTTGGTTTTAAGGGTGCCATTGGACTTAAACTTTGTTCTGTTGCTTCAGACCAACATGGCTACCCACCTGAAACCAGCACTATTGCATTTCTGTGCTTTCGCTGTGCTTGAGGCTTCCAATTTTCTATTTATCTGCTTTAATTTGTATGTCTTTTTTAAATTCAATAATGTATTTGGCATTGCTTTAAAAAAAGAAAAGAAAAAAGGAATTGAACGGCATGTTTTCTTTCCCTGGCGTTTTTGTCTAGGCGTGAGGTCTTTCAGCCACACAAAGGATCCCACCCAGGAGCTACGAAGATTCTGATTGTGATAACAGATGGACAGAAAGAAGGGGATCTCCTCGAGTACAGTGATGTGATACCAGAGGCGGAGACAGCTGGCATAATCCGCTATGCCATTGGGGTGAGGAAACTAACCAAGAAACCAGAGGGATGCCTGCCAATTCTTCCCTGAATCCCCCCCCCCCCGATCTTGGGTTCCTGAATCACCTTGTCTTGTTTCCAAAATGAAACCAAAATCTGCAGTGCCTGGATTGTGGACATTGATAAAGCACTGCAAAACAGTAATCCACACAAGCATATGTTTGATGGCATCCAGATTTTTTTTTGGTGTGGTGTTTTACTAATGCTGCTTTGCTAAACGGCACATAGAAGCAATCTTGTCGTGACTGCATGCATCACTGTTTCGGGATTCTTTTGATGTGGTGTTTAACCAGTGCCCAAGTGCCTGTGCACATTAGTAAAATAATGCCCGAAAAGAATCCTTATGCAACCATACAATTATACATGCAGTCACATCCAACATTATTTTGTTGAAATGTGTTATCAGTACACAAAATGAACAGCAATGATATAGAAATTGGGGCGTGTGTGTGTGCAAATAATGGAAAGTAGTGAAAGTTGTTGGAAGCTAAGCAGGGTCGGCCCTGGTTAGTATTTGGATGGGAGACCATGAAGGAAGTCCAGGGTTGTTACGCAGAGGCAGGCAATGGGAACCCACCTCTGACCGTTTCTTGCCTTGAAAACCCTACAGGGTCGGCATGAATCGGCTGCAACTCGGTAGCCGTTTCCATCACCAAAGCAGTGGTAAACTGCTCGTCCCCCAGCTGCGGAAATTATCCTGTTTTAAAGCAGAATCAAGCAAGTGTGGAATGCAACACAAAGGGAATTTCTAGAACAACAACGGGACAGAACGGGGGGGGGGAGGAATCCATTCACCCCCAAGAAGTTCTCAAAGCAGTCATCAGTCTATTTCCAGGGCAATTCTAAGCACGTCTATTCATAGCCTTACCAAATTTAACTCTGCTGAATGGGGCGTACTTTCAAGGAAGGGCACTAGTTCTGTGCCACCCGTGTACTCGAGGCTGGAAAACACGTGGAATTGTAAGCCATATCCTGCCGAACAAAGACTCACAATCTAGATAAGATGGATTCGATTATGAATTTTTTAATCTGGGCTTTTTAAAAAAAAACTGAGGAAAGGGGGGAGGACTTTGGCTATTTGCCGCAGAAGGTGTATATGACCTCTTTAACCTACTCTCTCTCAGAAAGAACCACAACAGATGACCTTCCCTTAGTCCTCTCAGCTGGTCACTGTACTTTCCCTAGGTCTTGTTTTACACATGGGATTGAACGCCTAAGATGCCAAATTTCAAACAAGACAGAGTGGGGAAGAAGGGGTTAAACATAAGAACATAAGAAGAGCCCTGCTGGACCAGACCAGTGGTCCATCTAGTCCAGCATCCTGTCTCACACAGGGGCCAACCAGTTCCTCTGGAGGGCCAACAACAGGGCACAGAGGCAAAGGCCTTCCCTTGATGTTGCTGTCCAGCACTGGGATTCAGAGGTTGACTGCTCAGTCACCACAGCTAGTAGCCACTGATCGACCTATCGTCCATGAATCTATCTAATCCCCTTTGCCTGTGGGTGTGTGACTGTAGTGGTGTAGTGGTTAAGAGTGACGGGCTCTAATCTGGAGAACCGGGTTTGATTCCCCACTCCTCCACATGCAGCCAGCTGGGTGATCTTGGGTCAGTCACGGTTTTCTCAGGGCTCTTTCAGCCCCACCTACCTCACAGGGTGTCTGTTGTGGGGAGAGGAAGGAAAGGTGACTGTAAGCCGCTCTGAGACCCTGAGTGAAGAGCAGGGTACAAATACAACTCTTCTTCTTCATCATCTTTGTCTTCGTTGTCTTCTTCATATCTGTGTAGCAGAATCATGACATTAGAGAAGGGACTGTTTGAAGCAGAAAAACAACAGGACGGTACTTAACCCATTACTAGCCAACCATTTCTCCACTTCAAATAGCCCTTTAAGGAGCTTTTAAGTCGTAACAAACAAAAAGAAGTCCCCTCAGGGCTTCTAACAAAGAGCACTCATGAGTTTGGATTCAAAATGGGTTTATTTTCAACCAAATATACACTGTTAAGTGGCTGTGGTGGCTCAAGTGGCTAAGACACTGAACTGCAGACCAGAAGGTTTGTAGTTCGGCAGTTCGAGACCCGAGTGCTGCGTGATGGAGTGAGCTCCCGCCCCTGGCCCCAGCTCCTGCCAACCTAGCAGTTCGAAAGCAAGAAATTGCAAGTAGATATATAGGTACCGCTTCGGTGGGAAGGTAACAGTGTTCTGTGCGCCTCGGTGTTTAGTCATGCCGGCCACGTGACCACGGAAACGTCTTCGGACAGCGCTGGCTCTTCGGCTTGGAAACGGAGATGAGCTCCGCAACCCTAGAGTCGGCCTCGACTGGCTTTCGAGCAAGGGAAACCTTTGCCTATACACTGTTAAGGTTGCCAACTCTGGGTTGGAGGTTTGGGGATGGAACCTGGGGGAGGGCAGAGTTTGGGGAGGAAAGGGGGGCACAGCAGGCATGGGATGCCATAGAATCCACCCTCTGAAGCCGCCATTTCCTCCAGGGTAACTGATGTCTGTAGTCTAGAGATGAGCTATACTTTTCTGCAAACTCCAGGCCCCCACTGAAGCTTGGCAACAGGGTGGGATAAAGTGGTGTTTAAACCCTTGGCTTTGTTTGCCTCTGATACTTTCCATTCTCTGCGTAACACCCCCTTTCCTTCTCATTCTGCCAAGGTTGGAAGGGCTTTCAGTTTGGGTGCCGCCCGGCAAGAGCTCAACGATATTGCCTCCAGGCCCAGCTCAGAGCACGTTTTCCCCGTCAGCAACTTTAACGCCCTGAAGGACATAGAGAACAAACTTCAGGATAAAATTTTCGCCATCGAAGGTACCAAATCTAGCAGATGCTGCTGCTGCTGTGGGGAAGGGAGGCGGGCACAGAGAGGTGAACATCTGTGGCACGGACACGCAGTTGGCAGACCAGGGTCCAAACCTGGAACAGCATCCCGTCCCATGTTTTACAGACCACCAAAGTAAAGGAGAGACTTCACACGGGCCAGGTTGTGGTTCCTGACATTACAGCTGTCATGGGACTGGATGTCCCGTGTCCCGTCATGGCCTGCCACTGTTCTGCAGGCAGAGATGGGGAAAGAGAGCAGATACGGGGTCTCTCTAGGGGGTGATTCTGCACTGGCTTTCCCCTCCGTTGGAGCAGGTTGGAACAGAAATTCCCTCTGCATTGCATGCCGCTTTCGCCTTCTTTGATCATCGGGTTTTATGGTACCTTCTGCATAGATTTATGGCCATTCAAGGGTGACTTTGCCGTCAGTACAGCGTTGCCCCGAGGTATTTGAATGTGGTTTTGAACTGCACCTTTGGTAAAACAGCAGACAACAGAGGGAAAAGTCAGTGGAGGATCGCTCTCTCTCTCTCTCCCCCCTTCCCAGTATCCACCTCCCTACAGATTTTCTTACCTGGCCATTTTCTTCCACTTTGGGAATGATTTCTGTGGAGGGAGGGATTTATAAGGGAAACATGTCAGAAATGAAAACGCGTGTTTTTGTAGATGTTTGAAAATTGTCAGTTAGACTTCTTCACAGCACTATGATTTATTCTGCATTTAGCAATTATCCTGGATCCAGCTGGTTTGATTTCCAACACACCAAATAACGCACTTTCAATCCACTTTCAGTGCACTTTGCAGCTGGATTTTACTGTGTGAAATGGCAAAATCCACCCGCAAACAATCGCTGAAGTGGACTGAAACGGCATTATTTAGCATGTGTGAAAGCTAAATAATACGGGACAGAAGTTAATTTAAGAAATACAAGTTGTACTCCATTTCAAAATAAACTGGAGCTTGGTTCCATTTCGCCTTCTGTCTTCTCCTATAAAGGGGGGAAACGGTCTTCTAGCTTGCTGAGTAGTAAGCACGAAAACGGTAAAACTAGTGCAAGTCTTCACCCACACACACACACCCTGTTAGCTCTGCCCAGCACAGGAAACCAGTTTTCATCAGTCAACGCTCTGGGTTCTCCTGGAGTCTACTTGGAAGTAAGTCCCATTTTATTCAATGGGGCTTACTCCCAGGAAAGTGTTCTTAGGATTGAGAAGGGCTTAGTCTCCAGGGAGAGAAATAAAATCTGACAATCAGGAGCAATAATAAAGGCAGCAAGCTGGTTTCTTCTTGTCCTAAAAGCTTATGCTCTCCCCAGGCCAGTTCCAGAGTTTGGGGGGTCCTGGGCAGATTTCTTAGGGGAAGGGTGGGTGGGCAGCAGGGGGCATGTGTGGCCAGTGGCAGTGGGCCCCACCAGGAGTTCTAAGCCCTGGCAGCTGCTCCACCGTAGGGTATGCTGGCGCCAGCCCTGGACCTACCCATCAGGCTCCACCCTTGGGCTGCTTAGCACAGCCAGGTGCCATTCTGTGCCCCCATCGGGCACCGCCGAACTCCAGAGCCTCGGACCTTTGACAGTAGTCTCTTTCCTTCCACCCTCCTCCTTGCAGGTACAGAGTCCCAAAGCAGCAGTTCCTTCCAGCTGGAGATGTCCCAGGAAGGACTCAGCGCCTTGGTGACCCCCGTAAGTGCTTCCTGCTCCCAGGCTACCTGTTTGACAGGCTGATACCTCCTGGGTGTCCTCACCTCTACGCCCAAACAAGCTACATTTGGATCATTAGAGGGACAGTGAATAAGTGCAGATGAGATGAAAAGTATGCATACGGGAAGTGATTTCAGCTAAGCATACCTTTTATTAGTCAGGAACAAAGACAGCTTAACCGGCTCGCAGGCCGGCTTATATATTCCCTCAGAGAAACCCACCACCAAACACACCCCCACTCCAGATAGGCTATTTACAGTGACCAAGAGACCTATTGGCCTCTCAGCCTGGGACCTAGCCCTTTCATTGGGCCTGGCTAGGATCCTACTGGCCCATTGTCTTTTGGCATAAAGCTTGAGGTGTTTGTGCCTGGGCAAGTCCAGGCATGCCCGGCCCTGTCGGGGCCTGATACACTACATGAGACAAGACACCCCTCCACAGGTTCCAGTCCCAACTACATTTCTCAGAGGATGGCCGTATCACTGACAGAATGGACTCCCGTCACACAAATTGGCAAACAGGGGGTTTGGTGTTTGAATTGCTTTGTGGGGAAAAGAGATATTGGACCCACCCTTGAGGTCTGTATACAGAACAGAGACTGTCACAGGACTTGCCAAGCCAATTCAGGGCTGAGAGGGATCCCTCCAGGCCCAGTTTGTCCTCCCACAATTCCCTTATAATGTTACGAATATAAGAGGTGCCCTGCTGGTTGAGGCCAAGTGGTCCACCCAGTCCAACATCCTGCCTCACACAGTGGCCAAGCAGTTATCCTGGACGGTGAACAACAGGGCACAGAGGCCGAGGCCTTCCCTTGATGTTGCTTCCTACCACTGGTATTGAGAGGTTCGCTACCTCAGGATATAGTGGTGCCCTTTAATCAGGGGTCATTTCCAGCAGGAGCGCACAGGAGCGGAGCTCTGGCAGTAAAGAGCCCAGGGGGCGGATACATGCAACAAGCCCCACCCCCTGCTCCCAGCCAGGTAAGTTACAGAGCCCCTCCCAGCCCCCCAGTCCAAAACAGTCCAGTGGCACCAGGTTTAAGACCAGGTTTTATTCAGGTACAAGCTCTCCCTCCTCTGCAAGGACAGATCTCCCCCATAGCTAGCCACCCAAAACAGTCCAGTGGAGCCTGAGCAGTGGGTGTTGCCTTCTGACACATTTCCGGTGATGTCAGGGGGTGTGGCCTATGCAAATGAGTTATGCTAATGCGCTCCTGCACCTCTTTTTCTACGAAATGACCCCTGCCTTTAATCATCTTGGCCATTGATATCCCATTATATCCATCTGCCCCTCCCTTGGCATACGTTTGGTGGCATCTCTGCCACGATACCCCCAGTTCTCAGGCTTAAGACCCAGGAAGGGATTGAGTCCTGACAGCCTCCATGCTTAAAGCTGAAATGAAGTGGTGATATACTTGAGCCACGGGGACAGGCTAGGAAAGAAATCTACATGAATGTATTTGGTGGTTCCATGTGGTCATGGTCAGTCGTGTTGGTCTGAAGCAGTAGAACAAAAGTGGGCTTGAAGCTCAACATCAAAAAAACTAAGATCATGGCATCCGGCTCATACCTCGAATAAACCTTGGTTGACAAATGCTCATACCTCGAATAAGCCTTTGTTGGTCTTAAAGGCAACGCTGGGCTCTAAATTTGGTCTGTAAATGTATTTGGAAATAGTAGCTGAGATTTCTCCAGACACAATTAGGGTAGGAGGGTGTGGGGGTGCAGTGCTTATCCTCCAAAGAGGAAAATACCAAGTGTCACACTTAGGGGTGTTTTGCCATCAGATGCAATTTATGTTTGGGATTCTCCACCCCACCCCCAAATCACACACCTTAGTTTACATGCTCTCCTTCACTGGTGCTCTTCTTCTTCTTGCAATGGTTCTAGGACGGCTTTGTGCTGGGGGCCGTGGGAGCCTACGACTGGTCTGGAGGGCTTTTCCTATACGGCAGTGGTGGTGATCCGAACTTTATCAATGTGACCAGCTCCACTAAGGACATGAATGATGCTTATCTTGGTAAGAGTCCAAAAGCAACTCTCTGTCCCTCCCCCTGTGTGTTTTGGGGCTGTGTCAGAATTGCTGGGAGCATTTGGTGGGAACCTCAGAGCAGCGTTTCAGAATCTGCTTCCTTTGCATGAGAGGGTCCTGCAGACTTTTAGCCTCTCTGGTTGTTTACAAAATACAGACTGGTTGCACAGGCTGTGTGGTTGGAGGGCAGAAGAAGCACACAGCCACACCCTCTTCACGGCAACGTTATTGTCTCCCCAAATCCAAAACCCAAAACGTTGCTTTTTCTGTTCTCTTCTGCACCAAACTAATTGAGTAACCTGGTGGATGGGTGGGGCTCGGAGATCTCACTTGTACCCCTCGTTCCTCCTCCACAACCAAAGCTTGAAGCAGGGTGCCAGTACGATAGGAGCGGGAAAGAACCAGGCTGTTCTTTCCACATGAGCCACCCCAGGTTTAGAAAGATCTCAGGAAAGCCGGGGAGAAGCCAAAAGGCACACAAGAGTACCACGGGGCTGTGTGGAAGCATGGGAGGAAAAAACAACAACCCTGCTTCTCATCAGCAGCAAAACTGGAGCAGATAGGTGCTGAAGTGACATTTATAAAGCTGTAAGTTGACTACTTCCCTGCTGGAAGTAACTGTGCTTTTCGTCCCTCCAAGGTTATTCAGTGCAGATGGTTCAGCTGGGAGGAAGGCGCAGCTACGTGGTGGGGGCCCCTCGCTATAAGCACATCGGCCGGGTCGTCCTCTTCAGCCAAGAAAACGGGCAGTGGCAGCGGAAGTCAGACCTGTCTTTGAAACAGGTAAACGGGCTGTGCAACAGGCGGCGAGTCTATTTGATTTATTTATACCGTGCTCTCTCTGGGGAAATCTGCAGTAGTTTGCAGGGCTCTTTTTGTAGAAAAAGCCCAGCAGGAACTCATTAGCATAATAGGCCACACCCAACAGCAGGAACTCATTAACATAATAGGCCACACCCCTGACAGCACAGCTCATTAGCATATTAGGCCACTCCCCCATGTTACCAGAAGTGTGCTCATCCAGCCACACCCACCTTTTGCTTCTTATTCTGTTTACCTTGTTTGTTGTCAAAACCCAGGGCCTTTTTTTGTAGCAGGGACTCCTTTGCATGTTAGGCCACACACCCCTAATGTAGCCAATCCTAATGAGTTTCTGCTGTTGGGTGTGGCCTATTATGCTAATGAGTTCCTGCGGGGCATGGCCAACTTGGGAGCCAGCCGGAACTCCGTTCCTGTGCGTTCCTGCCCAAAAATAGCCCTGGTGGTTTGCAACATATTAAAATTGTAATAATCAATTACCATTTTTAAAAAAAACAAAAAAAACAGCCTACCCCAGTAGTGGACTAAAAGAAGGGCCGAAAGGAAAGAAGAGCTTTGCAATAGTAAAAGGCACCAGACTAAAAAGCATATATTAAAAATCTACCGAGCTACGATAAGGTCATAATAAAACAAGAACTTTTTAAAAAAACAACACACAAAACTGTAGGGAGTCTGAAACATTTGGGAGACAAACAGTGTCCTTGCCTGGTGCCTAAAAAGAATGTAAACTTACCACCAGGCAAGCCTTCGAAGGGAGCTTCAGCATGGGAGTCGCTACCAAGAAGACCCTATTTCCGGTTCACGTCTCTCACAGAGTGGGTTGCAAAGAGTGCATGCTTTGTCTGTCCGAGTCACCTTGCCTCCCTGTCCTTCTGCCTTCTTTCTACATCTGTGCTCTACCAGCAGATCCTTCCCCAAAGGAGAAGGAAAATGGCAGCTCTGCAGGCGTTCATGACTCAGCAGGTGGGGTTTCGCAACCACGCTTAGGGTCCACTCCCCATCCATGCTTTAGGGAATGCCACCATAGCAGAACCTGTCACAATGTGGTTCAAGTTAATTTCGTGGACCAGCACTTTCCCCACAACTCAGCCCTAAGCATCTCTAGCATCTAACCTGAAAGTCTTGAGCCAAACAGGACAACGGCCTTTGGTTTCAGTCCGAAGTGACTAGAAGACCCTGGCGGGATGGGGAGCAGAAGGAGAGGAACCAGGGAGCTCACTAAGGTCAAGACAGACCAAGTGACAGAAAATGTTTGCATCACTGGCAACTCTGCTATGTTGTTATGGTTGCTTGTTGAAAACCATTTTTGATAGCTTGTCATAGGTCCCGGTCACACGAGCGGGATGATCCGCTGCCGAAGGGAGGCAAATCAGAGCCGGAGCAAAGAGAACCGTGGGAGCGCGTTCCGACGTGCCCCCGCGGCTCCGTGCTCCGGCAGCCGATCACACATTGTGCAGCAAACCGGCAGTAGCGCGGTTGTGTGCATGCGTGGGATGGGGAACGGCGCTGGCTGCGACGGGCTACCAGTGCTTCCCCGAAAAGACACCTTCCGTTGCCACGCATTATCCGGTAGGTACTGCTCTTTTGCTAGTACCTTTTTGATGCGCGTTTGTGGGCCAAAGGGATGGATCGGGGACGGGTGCGCGCCGCTTCCCAGATGTTGCGGTGTGATTGTGCCCGCTTGATGCGCCCCCAATCCGTCCCTCTTGCGGAACAAATCCTCCCGTGTGACCGGGGCCAAAGTTAATAAATAATTTTAACCATGGGAACTTTTTAAGACCCCTCAGATTGGTTCTTATTTTGGGGCTTCCCTGTGCTCCGTGGACCTGGACCGCAACTCCGACACAGACCTGGTTCTCATCGGTGCGCCCATGCACTATGACGGTATGGCAGGAGGGAAGGTCTACGTTTTCCAGAGGCAGGTACGTGGTGGAAGAATGCTGGTTTGACCTTTCTACTAGATGGCCCAAGAAGGCCCCTAAGAACAATTCTTTGGGAGAAGCTTCCCAGCTGCAGCAGAGTTATCAAAAGGACGTCTGAGGAACAGGAAGCGGGACCAGGAAAGGGTAGCAGGCTGGTTCTTGGATTATGGGGGGAAGATAGAAGGCCTTTAATGAAATCCACAAGACTTATCCCTTGTTATCCCACATACACCAGTGTGGTGTAGTGGTTAAAACAGGGCTCCTCAACATAGTGGGCACGATGATGCCCACCAACACCTTCCTTGGTGACCAAGTGATTTTAGAAAGTGGATGGGGACAGGTGGGGCTGTTACTCAGCAGGGCTTCTGATTGACCACTGAAAATCTGACTGTAGATACAGATTAAAACAACATTTCTTTCAGTGGCAGCTGCCAGTACAGTGTTTTGTTTTGTTCCCTCTTACTCCTCTTTTCCAGTGTATTTTTAATTAATGTAATTCTTCTCCCCTGCAAGCGGGATGATCCGCTGCCGAAGGGAGGCAAATCAGAGCCGGAGCAAAGAGAACCGTGGGAGCGCGTTCCGACGTGCCCCCGCGGCTCCGTGCTCCGGCAGCCGATCACACATTGTGCAGCAAACCGGCAGTAGCGCGGTTGTGTGCATGCGTGGGATGGGGAACGGCGCTGGCTGCGACGGGCTACCAGTGCTTCCCCGAAAAGACACCTTCCGTTGCCACGCATTATCCGGTAGGTACTGCTCTTTTGCTAGTACCTTTTTGATGCGCGTTTGTGGGCCGAAGGGATGGATCGGGGACGGGTGCGCACCGCTTCCCAGATGTTGCAGTGTGATCGCGCCCTCTTGATGCGCCCCCGATCCGTCCCTCTTGCGGATCAAATCCTCCCGTGTGACCGGGGCCAAAGTTAATAAATAATTTTAACCATGGCAACTTTTTAAATTATTTAAAACAATTTATTAGGATATATTAAAAAGGTAAACATATCAATACTTCATTATACATCATTTCCTCCTCATTTCCCCCCCCCCTTTTCGGCTTCCCACAGTGCTCCAACCTCCTGCTCCATTCTTATATTCACTTCATTCCTCTCTTTTTCATAATACATCTCTAGGTAACTTATCTTTCAACTGCTATTCAAATACATTTATCAATTTTCTACTTCTTTTAAATTTCAGTAGTTATCAAAGCAAATCAAATTGTTTTTTACATCCCAGTATTTTTCGAAGTACTCTTTAAAGTCTTTCTAGTCTGCAAAAAATTCTTCTGCTTCCAAGTTATTAACCATGGGAACTTTTTAAGACCCCTCAGATTGGTTCTTATTTTGGGGCTTCCCTGTGCTCCGTGGACCTGGACCGCAACTCCGACACAGACCTGGTTCTCATCGGTGCGCCCATGCACTATGACGGTATGGCAGGAGGGAAGGTCTACGTTTTCCAGAGGCAGGTACGTGGTGGAAGAATGCTGGTTTGACCTTTCTACTAGATGGCCCAAGAAGGCCCCTAAGAACAATTCTTTGGGAGAAGCTTCCCAGCTGCAGCAGAGTTATCAAAAGGACGTCTGAGGAACAGGAAGCGGGACCAGGAAAGGGTAGCAGGCTGGTTCATGAATTTTGGGGGGAAGATAGGAGGCCTTTAATGAAATCCACCAGTGTGGTGTAGTGGTTAAAGCAGGGCTCCTCAACATAGTGGGTGTGATGATGCCCACCAGCACCTTCCTTGGTGACCAAGTGATTTTAGAAAGTGGATGGGGACAGGTGGGGCTGTTACTCAGCAGGGCTTCTGATTGACCACTGAAAATCTGACTGTAGATACAGATTAAAACAACATTTCTTTCAGTGGCAGCTGCCAGTACAGTGTTTTGTTTTGTTCCCTCTTACTCCTCTTTTCCAGTGTATTTTTAATTAATGTAATTCTTCTCCCCTGCACTTGGGCTGTGGATGGGGCCCTGCCTCCTGTGGTGGCCATTTTGTAGCTGGCTCTGCCTCCTGTGGTGGCCTCTGTGTATGTAGCTCTGCCTCCTGTGGTGGCCATTCTGTAGCTGGCTCAGCCTCCTTTGGTGGCCATTTTGTGGTTGCACAGAATTCCAAAGGTGTCCAGAGGCTCACAAAGGTTGGGGCCCTTGGGTTAAAAGTCTTGAACTAGAATCTGGGAGACCTTTCTCCTGTCTGCCATGAAACCTGCTAGGTGACCCTGGGCCAGTCATTCCCTCTCTCAGCCTCACCCACCCCACAGAGTTGCTGTGCGGATAAAAAGGAGGCGAAGAAAACTATGTGCTCTTCCCCAAGCTCCTTGAAAGAGGGACAGGATAAAACTGTGGTAGGTCAGAACCGAGGTGTGTCACTGGAGGAACTTTCTGCTGTCAAGGGCTCCAAAGTACGTTGCTAGATTGGACAAAGGGAAGTATCAACACCAGGATATGTTGGTTCTGTAGGTACAGGCGACTTGTTTCTTCAGAGTCGGTGTTAGGGATGCCAGCCTCCGGGTGGGACCTGGGGATCCCCCAGAATCACAGCTCGTCTCCAGACTACAGAGATCAGTTCCCCTGGAGAAAATGGATGTTTTGGAGGGTGAACTCTGTGGCATTGCGCCCCACTGAGGTCTCCTGTCCTCCCCAGGCTCCACCCCCAAATCTCCAGGAGTTTCCAAACCTGGATCTGGCAACTTTACCTCCCCCTGGTGGTGAGGGTGGACCTGGCAACCCTAGTCCGTGTGGAATCTTCCAGGGCCTCCCTCCCCCAGTGGGTGCCAAAGAAGAGTCAGTGCCTGGGTTCACGGCAGAGCGTTTTCATCACCGACTGGTTCTTTGGCTTCACCCGCTCTCCTGTCCCCTTTCTTAACTTGCCAGGGGGAGACGTTTGTCAGCACCCAGGAGTTGCAAGGGGAGCGCAAATACCCTTTAGGCCGCTTCGGAGCCTGCATCGCAGAAATAGGTGACATAACGGGAGACGGATGGATGGATGTGGCGATTGGAGCTCCAATGGAGGATGCAAATCGAGGGGCCCTGTACATCTTCCAGGGACGCTACGGCTCCATCAACCCGCAGTATAGTCAGGTGAGGGCCAACCGCTCCCTGCCCCCACCTCGTTCTTCAGGAGCAAAGGCAACATCGCAGACTCCGCCCCCTTCGTATACTGATGGTGGCACAGGCCCCTCCCCCACCCCCCGCTGACACACTTTCTTCTGCCCGCAGCACATCCGAGGATCTCGGTTCCCCAACCAGCTTCACTACTTTGGCCAGGCTGTTGCCGCTGGGACGGATCTCACAGAAGACGGACTCCCAGACATCGCGACGGGGGCTCGTGGGCAAGTGCTGCTGCTGAGGTGAAGGACTGGGGTGGCCTTTGGCCTCTGCCTAAACACGCTGCTGCCCTGACCTGCATATGGCCCCAGGCGAGCTAGATCTGGTCAGACCTCAGAAGCTCAGCAGGGTCATCCCTTGTTAGTATTTGGGTGGGAGAGGAGAACCCAGGAAGTCCAAGGCGGGCGAGGGCAAGCCGCTTCTGAGCATCTCTGGCCTTGAAAGCGACATGAGGTTGCCGTAAGTCAGTTGTGACCTGGTAGCACGTTCACAGCCAAAGACCTGGTTGGCCCACCCTGGCCTGATCTTGTCAGACCTTGGAAGCTTAACAGGGTTGGCCCTGGTTAGTACTTGGATGGGAAGCGACCCCAGGAGTGTTACGCAGAGGCAGGCGATGGCGACCACCTCTGGATTTCTCTTGTCTTGACAACCCCAGGAGGGGTCGCCACGCGTCAGCTGCGGCTCGACAGCACTTTCCGCCGCCAAACGTACTGCCCTTGACAGACAAATCTGTGGAGCAGCTGCTCATCCCTCTAGCTCAGTATCGGCTGCTCTGCTTAGCAGCAGCCCTCCAGGAGTGAAGGGTCTTTTCCGGCACAGTGCCCCGGAACTTTCAGCTGGAGAATAAAAGCTGGAGCCTTTTACGTGCGTAGCACCGGCTCTGCCCCTGCGCCAGGGACTCTTATTCTCAGGTGATGCAGCACAGAGTCATTGACGTCTTATAAAGGTTTTTAAAATAACCATTTACAATATGGTTGCCAACTCCAGGGTGATAATGCCATTGAGTCCAGCCTCCAAAGCAGCCATCCCCCCCAGGAGAACTGATCTTGGTCCCCCTCACTGGCAGTCTTTAAGCAGTGGCTGGACAAACACTTGTCAGGGCTGCTCTAGGCTGATCCTGCCAGGGGTTGGTCTAGATGGTCTCTATGGCCCCTTCCAGCTCTGTGATTCTGTGATTCCATGGTTCCACCTGGAGATCAATTCTAAGAACAGGAGATCTCCAGCTGCCACCTGGAGGTTGCAGCATACGAGCGATCGCGTGAATAAGGCCCATTGGAAGCCTTGACAGTTGCTGCGCGTGGGCTAAAACTACATGATTAGAAACGGACAAGGAAATTATTAGAACTGGCACAAGTGCTTTATTTAAAACGTTTACCTGTTACACTCTTTGCATGTAAATGTTTGTATGAATCTGCTTGGTAAACAATACAATCGACTATACAGTGTTGACACTGAGTAATTATATCACAGTTGTATTTTGGTTGTTCTTAACTTCCCCCTGGGGGTTGGCAACCCAAATTTACAGTGGTTCCCCAAAATTGCACAGCCTGTTGGTAAGGGAAGGGCTTATATTGTTAGCTGCCCTGAGCCTACCTGCGGGGAGGGCGGGATACAAATGTAATTAATTAAATAAATATATACAGGGCTTTTTTGTAGAAAAAGCCCAGGAGGAACTCATTAGCATAATTTATTCATTTGCCATACCCAACAGCAGGAACTCATTAGCATATTAGGCCACACCCCTGACTGCACAGCTTATTTGCATATTAGGCCACACCCCCATGTTACCAGAACCCAGCCACATCCATCTTTTGCTTCTTATTCTCTTTACCTTGTTTGTTGTCAAAATCCAGGGCTTTTTTTTTTTTTGGAGCAGGAACTCCTTTGCATTTTAGGCCACACACCCCTAATTGTAGCCAATCCTAATGAGTTTCTGCTGTTGGGTGTGGCCTATTATGCTAATGAGTTCCTGCTGGGCGTGGCCAACTTGGGAGCCAGCCGGAACTCCGTTCCTGTGCGTTCCTGCCCCAAAATAGCCCTGCTTAAATATAACATTCATATAACTGAATTTGGGACAGTAAAATAAAACTCTATAGCCAGATGTGAGGCTTTCCCCTCCGCGATGCTTGAGGGCAGATTCAAAAGGATCCTTACTGAATATAGACTTTGTCGATGCGGCTCAGGAGACAGAAACTATTGAGCACATGATGCTCAGATGTAATGGGTATAACAAGATCCGTGACAAATATATTACTCCTTTTATAACAGATATGGTGGGACAATCAGGTGCTGAGCAGTGTAACTGATTGTTAATTGATGGGAATCGGACAATTATCGAAACTGTGGCCAAATTTTGGGTAGCATGCTACTGCATCCGAAATACACGATCAAATATATAATAATAGTTGCCTAATAGTCTCTGTTTTATGCTCTTCTTTTACTTTATTACCCCAGCATCACCTTCTCCCCGTCTGTGATCCCCCTCTCCGCCTTTGAGTGCCAAGGCCAGGATCAGCTGGATAAGGAGGTCAGCACGGCAACGGTCTGCCTCACCGTCCGGTTGAACTCTCCGTTTACACCAGGTAGGTCCACAGAACCAGGGGCATGCGTGGAGCTTGGGTGTTGGGACTGTCAGACCTTGAGAAGGGGTTTTGGAAACATGTGTGCGTTGCAACGTCCACCAGTTTCTCAACAACAACTGCAACAACAGCAGTGGAGGTTCTTCTTGACCCCTAGAAGGAAATCACCTGAGTGCATTAACCAATGATTGTGAGTAAACAGACTTAGATTTTGCAGGCTTTGTTTTCATTGGCTCTAAGCCAGGTTTCCCTTCCAGGTCAGTCTAAAGAGAGTCAGTTTGGTGTAGTGGTTAAGTGCATGGACTCTAATCTGGGAGAACTGGGTTTGATTCCCCACTCCTCCACTTGCACCTGCTGGATGACCCTGGGCAAGCCATAGTTCTGCCACAGCTGTTCCTGAAAAAGAGCAGTTTTTGTCAGAGCTCTCTCAGCCCCACCTACCTCACATGGTGTCTGTTGTGGGGAGGGGAAGAGAAAGCAGTTTGTAAGCCGCTCTGAGACTCCCTTGGGTAGTGAAGGGCGGGGTATAAATCCAATCTCTTCGTCTTCTAAACAATAGCACACAAGGTAAAGCAGATTAACCCTATAATGACTGAATTAGACCTTGCAACACACACATATTTCCAACAAGTACTCTGTGTATGACCGGCATATGCACAAGGGCAGGCCACGAAGCAGTGTGAGAACGACTCAGCTGAGCCACCGCACTGTTTTAGTCAGGTGTCACTGCAATAATCACCAACACTTTTCAAACTCTGTTCCTAAGAACCCTCAGGTCCCACAGAAGCTTATTGGGGGCAGATCAAGGAGAAAATATGTCCCAGTGGACAATGGGAGATGAGGCAGCTTGTCCACCGCTATAGCTGTCCCCGGACAGCATTGGGGTTATTAGATAGGCACTTAATTAGGGTGCACTCTGCGCAGGGGTCACTGTGAGGCCCAAAAGACCAGATCACCATCCCATATGAACCAAGGGGACACATCATATGAAGCTTACTGAACGATACAGAATTGCTCGAGGCCAGATGTCATGGTGACTGTTGGATACAAGCAGGGCTATTTTTGGGCAGGAACGGAGTTCCGGCTGGCTCCCAAGTTGGCCACGCCCAGCAGGAACTCATTAGCATAACAGGCCACACCCAACAGCAGAAACTCATTAGGATTGGCTACATTAGGGGTGTGTGGCCTAACATGCAAAGGAGTTCCTGCTTCAAAAAAAGGCCCTGGGTTTTGACCACAAACAAGGTAAACAGAATAAGAAGCAAAAGGTGGCTGTGGCTGGATGAGCACACTTCTGGCAACATGGGGGTGCGGCCTAATGTGCTAATGAGTTGTGCTGTCAAGGGTGTGGCCCAATATGCTAATGAGTTCCTGCTGGGCTTTTCCTACAAAAAGAGCCCTGGACAAGTGATCGTGTCAACCTCTCAATGGCAAAATTCATACGCGCAATAATCAAATATAAGAGAAATAATACTGAGTAAGGTATTTTTAAATATTTTCTTGGTTCTGATTTCTACTTAAGGTGATAGCTGTATGAGCAGTACTAGATAGATAGACAGGCAGGCAGGCAGGCAGACAGAAGACTGGATTTATACTCCGCTCTTCACTACCCAAAGGAGTCTCAGAGCGGCTTACAAGCTCCTTTCCCTTCCCCTCCCCACAATAGACACCCTGTGAGGTATGTGGGGCTGAGAGAGCTCTTGGCAGAAGCTGCTCTTTTCAAGAACAGCTGTGGCAGAACTATGGCTTGCCCAAGGTCATCCAGCAGCTGCAAGTGGAAGAGTTTGGAATAAAACCCGGTTCTCCCAGATTAGAGTCCGCGCACTTAACCACTACACCAGATAGATGGATGGATGGATGGATGGATGGATGGATGGATGGATGGATGGATGGATGGATGGATGGATGGATGGGCATCACTTGAAGCTGCCTTATACTGAATCTGACCACTGGCCCATCAAGGTCAGTATTGTCTACTCAGGCTGGCAGCCGCACCCCAAGGTTCCAGGTGGAGGTCTTTCACATCTCTTATTGTCTGGTCCTTTTAACTGGAGATGTCAGGGACTGAACCTGGCTTGGAGGGCCCTCCTACATGCCAAGCAGATGCTCTGCCACTGAGCCACAGCCCTGCTAGTGAGCACACTAGAACACACCCATGTCCTCTGCATTGCATAAGGGTCCTTCAGCAGAAATATGGATGTGGAAATGGTTCCCTGAGGGAAGGAAAGTCACGGCGATAGCTTGATCTCAGCCCCCGGTTACAGCTAACGCCCCCTAGAGAAAAGAAGCTGCACAGCACATCCCAGACATACCCACTGCATTTCCCCTGTTTGTTTTCAATCCCTCTCCTGCAGCCAATAGGATTTCAAGCACCGTTTGGTACTCCTTGGTTTTGGATCCCGGTCGGATGAAAGTCCGGGCTGCTTTCGATAGCGGCTCCTCCACCCTCACCAATGAGATGCAGATGGGCTTGGCTGAGAAGTGCATGACCTACCGCATAAAGCTGCCGGTGAGCTCAGCGCTTCAGTGGAGGAGGGGAAGGCAAGGCCAGGGAGTGGGCCTTTTGGCACATGAGGCAAGGACTGTCATGGTGGAATCCAACAAACCTGATCTCCCTTTTTCTTCTGGCCTCTCCCTGACTCAAGGTCTGTATAGAAGACAGCCTCACGCCCATAAAGCTGCAGCTGAATTACAACCTAACAGGAGACCCCATTCCTTCGGCAGACAACCTGAGAGCCATCCTGAAGGAAGATTCTCCCCGTCTGTTTGCAGGATCGGTGAGTCTGTGCCCTCTGTTTCCTTGAGGCAGCTCTGCTTGCTTCCTTGCTTGCTTGGGGATTGGTTGTATCTCAATGTGTGCAACTGGCAGAGATCCAAGGCTTGATGCCTGGAAAAACATTATCTAGCTTCTGATAATCTACCTCTCACTGAATCTAGCCCGTTCACTCCTAAAATGCTTTGCTTGTAGCTCTCTCCCGATGAGCATAGAGCTGGCTTGTATCCAGCCAAGCAGGTTCAAAGAATTGAGGGCATTTCTGTCTTTGGAAAAGAGGATGGTCCTTTCCGCCAGTTCCCTTCTGCCACTGCTGACCCCCACTTTGCCGTATGGGCTGTTCACAGGGGCCATGGACTCCTAGGAAGAGCATGGCGGGGGGGATTAGTTGGCAGAAGGGAGAAGCAGGGAAGCTCCACCCCGTGAGGTCCATTCCACGAGCAGATCTCACTGGATAAGGAGATCAGTACAGCAACGGTCTGGCTCATTGTCCAATTGAACCCTCCGTTTACAGTAGGTAGGTCCACAGAATTACAGGATATTTAACTACAGAGAGTCACCTGTTAAAAGAGATTAGCTGCTTGTGTGGAGTAATGGACATTGCAGTACCAGAGAGGCTCTGGGTTCAAATTTCTGCTCGGCCATAAAGTGAGTCATGCTTGATCTACCTCACTGGTCGAGGTGGTCAGCCGTGTTAGTCTGAAGCAGTAGAACAAATTTAGAGTCCGGTGGCACCTTTAAGACCAACAAAGTTTTATTCAAGGTGTGAGCTTTTGTGTGCATGAGCACTTTTTCAAATAAGTATTTGAAAAAGTGTGCATGCACACGAAAGCTCACACCGTGAATAAGTCTTTGAAAAAGTGCGCATGCACACGAAAGCTCACACCTTGAATAAGTCTGTGAAAAAGTGCGCATGCACACGAAAGCTCACACCTTGAATAAGTCTTTGAAAAAGTGCGCATGCACACGGAAGCTCATACCTTGAATAAAACTTTGTTGGTCTTAAAGGTGCCACTGGACTCTAGATTCGTTCTACTACCTCACAGGGTTATTGTAAGGAATAAAGAGTGTGGGGAAAACCTACTGTATCACCTTGGAGATAAGTGCCATGGGATGGATAAATACTTTTGACATTAAAATCAAAGGAGGAGGATTCGAAATGGAAGAGATGTATAGGGATAGATGCTAAATTTTCATACTTCCAGCAAGAGTGATGTGCTCTCTGTCCCTCCCCCCTCCACTCACAGCTGCCCTTTGAGAAGAATTGTGGCCACGATGGAGTCTGTAAAGATATCTTAAAAACCGCCTTTAATTTCTCAGGGTAAGTGAGGATTCCCCCCACCCCCTTATCCCCCTTTACCTAAATGAAATTTCCCCAGCAAGTTGGGCCTCAGACTGACAATATCCAGTTAACTTCTGGGCCTGTCAACTTTGGTGCTAAAAAGCTGTGGGACGGAATGGTTGCTGCACTGCCAGGACACCTCTCTGAGGAAGCCTGAAATTTCCCCAGCAAGTTGGGCCTCAGATTGGCAATATCCAATTAACTTCTGGGCCTGTCAACGTTGGTGCTAAAAAGCTGTGGGACGGAATGCTTGCTGCACAGCCAGGACACCTCTCTGAGGAAGTTCACCAGGCTGCCTTGGCTTACTTTCCACCATCTTTTCCCTCCATCCAGAGTTCAAGCTCAGAACATACTTTCCTTCTCAGGATTGACTCGGGGATTTGTGAGGCAGCAATGGAGGACAATTGGGCCCAGGTGGACCGTGGAGTGCCTTTCCCTCCCTCCACAGCAATACCACCACGTTTCTTGTTTCAGAGATTCACCACAGACTCTCTTCCCCTTTTTCTTCAGCCTAGACATGCTCGTGGTGGGTCAGGACCTGGAGCTCAATGTGACTGTCTTCTTCCGGAATGACGGAGAGGATTCTTACGGTTCCAACGTGACTTTTGTCTATCCTTCGGCACTCTCCTACCGGAGGTTCAAAATACTGCAGGTGTGAGGAGCAGAAATGTTGGGGAGTAAGGGATGGGGCCTGGCTTCGGGGTGGGGGTGGAGGAGAGAAGGTCTCCCTGTCTCTGTGCCCACTTTCACAGTCCTGTCCCCCTGCTGCTCAGTCTAACAGGAAGAACATGGGTATTAAGTGCTCCTCTGCCCCTGCCTCAAGGGAGGACTCTTTGAGGAACACCACCTGCAACATCAACCACCCCATCTTCCGAAGTGGGGCTGAGGTAAGTTCCCACCCTCAGAATATCGAGGTGTAGGAAGCCTTTTCCATGTGGCCAATATTTGCCCTTAAAGGGAGTGGATTCCACAGCCAAATATGTCCCTCTGCTGCTGGGAAGGCCTGTCTCTGTGTGGTGTGTCACCATCCCCAGGGTGTTTTTGGGAGCTTAGCAACCAGCCTAGAGGACCATACTCACGCCTCATTAGGGTTGCCAAGTCGATCCTGCGCACGCGCGCCGCATGCACGTCACCCGGAAGTGACGTGACGACGGCAGGCACGCTGGGGGCGGGGCCATGGCCATATGAGGGGAAACCATAGAGTTTTCCCTTGGATTGCTGTGGCCCCGCCCCCAGTATGCCCGGCGTGGTCGCGTCACTTCCGGGTGATGCGCACGTCGGGGTGGAGTTCCCCCGGGGGAATGGGCCTCTGGGGCGGGGGTTTCCCCGCCCCCCAGGGGGACTTGGGAAACCTACTCCTCATCGATATAAACAAAAGTTAAAGTGGATTCTGGGGCGCTCACCCCATTGCCTATCTGTGCTTTGTGTAAGGATTTGCCCTGAGCTCACAGTAAAAAAGAGAGAAACCATCTTCTGCCAGAGTTTGAAGGAAGTCTGGAGGTTATTACTTTGGAATAAATCATTGGATCCATGTGACCTCAGAAGTATCTTATTTGATAGGTAGGGTTGCTTGCCAGCTCTGGGTTGGGAAACACCTGGAGATTTTAGGGGTGGAGCCCAGGGAGGGACCTCAGCAGAGTCTGGTGCCATAGACTCCACCTTCCCGAAGCAGCCATTTTCTCCAGGGGGACTGATCTCTGTAGTCTGGAGAGGAGCTGTAGTTACGGGAGAGCTCCAGGCCCCCCTGGAGGTTGGCAGTCCTGGTTTCCTGAGGCCCATCTAAAGGTTAAAATGCCTCAGATCTCTGGGAGAAGCAGCAGCCACGAGAGTTGACCATTATCAATGTGGTAACTGGCTTTAAGGTCTCTCTAAGGTACTTTGTGTTGTGTCTCCCTCTGTTTTAGGTCATCTTCACTGTAGCTTTTTCCATTGACCCTGAAGGAGTTCTGGGGAGCGAGGTGCAGATCAACGCCACGGCTGGCAGGTGAGGCTCCACCCGTCTGACATATTTATCACTCTGCTTATCCTCCAAGGAGCTTTGGGTGGTTGTAAATGGTCGGCCATTTTCTCTTTGCATATTCTCCTCTGAGGTAAGTTAGGCTGAGAAATAATAGACGTCCCAAGGTGAGTTTAATAGGTTAGTGGGAATTCGAACCCTGGTCTCCCTGGCCCTAGTTGCACACTTTAACCCCACTTTAAGTGGGGTTGCCAGACAACCTGCAGGAGATGGGGGGAGGTACTACCTATGGGGGGCAGTGACTTCTGGGTCGCACAGGAAGTGGCATCATTACATGGTGACGACAGTCACTGCTCCCTCCTGTTTGGCCGGGGAGGGCTGATTTCACTTGCCAACCAGGAGAACGTCAGTAGGCAGTGGCCAAAATGGCTGGGTGTTTGCCCACCATGAGTGCACACCTGGCAAGCCTAGACATGAAGGCACAGTTTAGTACCTAGGCTGACTATATCTGCCATCGTCTTCTTATTACTAGTGTTGGATGCTGGAATCACAGTTTGGTTTGGTTTGGGGAGAGGTGGGGTGGGAAGGTAGAGGAAAAGCCTGGAAGAGGAAAACTCTCCTCATTGAGGTCTGGTCACTTGGGACCTCGACAAGGCTAATACTTTCCTCACCAGGTCTAATGGGGGAAGCCTGTAGATCCTGGTTTACCACCAGGGGTCATTTCCTGCAGGAGCGCACAGGAGCGGAGCTCCGGCAGTAGAGCCCAGGGGGCAGGCACATGCAACAAGCCCCACCCCTTGCTCCCAGCAGCCCCGGGCCACGAGGAGCAAGAAGCCTCTTTCTTTCCCTCTTTCC